CCCAGGGTCTAGCTCTCCTGTGAACACTCTCAGGTGGTCTTGTCCCAGGAGGCTTCCAAAGGGCTGATGCCGACAGGCAAAGTGAGGAGACTGCATGGGGAAAGCCAGAGCCTAGAGGCAACACTTTCCACCCCTTGGACTCCGGGGCCGGCTCTCCCCGGAAGCCCACTCTGCCCCATCACACAGAACCCCTGGGAGGCTGGAGGAAGAGCAAGATTCTCTTGTGTACACCTGTGAGCAGGTGAGGCCATGGCAGTCTCAGCAAAGGGCCCTGACTCTCCCTCTACTCACTACCCTGAGGGATCTGGGACAGGGACCACAGGCAGTTGGAAAAGCTATGAGATGGTAGTGGGTATGGAGTGAGTGCTTAAGGCTTGGCAGGGTACTGTAGGCCTGTAACCCTAGCTACTCATGGGGTTGTGGCAGGAGAATTACAAGTTCAAAAGTGCCTGGGCAACAGAACAAGTTGCAGGACAGTCTGGGCAACTTAGTGGAGACTCTGTCTCAAAACAGAAAGTAAAAAGAGGTTTGGGCATATAGCTCAATGGTAGAGCTTTGTCTAGCATGCATAAGGTTCTAGGTTCAATCCCTAGACCTTTGATAGCACACAAGAAAGAATAAGAAAACTAACCCACGTGGGGGATGCGGCCATCTAAAACTATATTGTTAAAGAGAAAACATTTATTGTGACAGCGAGTTCTCAAGTAGAAAATGACTGTTCTATGAAATTTAGGGCTTAGGAATAATTTCAAAAATGGGGATGTAATGTAGGTCCTGTAAACTGGGAAGTGCCCTGCTCTGGCTATTCTCTCAAAGGAGAGCCTAGCCACAGCTCAGTGGGCTTTTGAGCTCAGGGTCTTTCTTATGTGTGTTAGGCAAGCACTGAACCACTGACTGAGCAACACCCACAGCTCTCTTTTTTTTTTCTTCTTCATTTTACCCTCTGAGTCAAAGCCTTACAAGTTGCCCGGCTATCCTTGAACTCATTCTGTAGCCTGGGCATACCCGCCTTGAACTTGGGATCCTCCTGCTTCAGCCTCCTCCATAGCTGGGATCACTGGGCTGCACCATCAACTCAGGCTCCAGTAGATATTCTGACATAGTCTGGCTCCAGACTGTGTGCTGGGTCAAAACAGAATTAACAGGCAGGTGGTGGCCCTGGCGAGGAGGGAAGCTGACCCTGGCATTCATTCGCATGTATCAAGAGAAAATTGCAGGCTGTGGCCTCTCTCACCATAGCTCAGCCCACGGGCCCACGCCCTGCTCCAGGCACCAGGGACAAAGGACAGACTCACTCACAATCCAATTTGTTATACTCCCACCTTCCAATGGGGGGGGGATGAAATAAAAAAAGAAGAAATCCCATTATCTTTATCTGTCCTTCCCATCACCCAGCAGAAAATGCAAACGGGGGGGAGAGACAGCTGCCATGAACTCTTTATATTCTACCCAGAAGAGGATGCCTCTTTTATTGCATACAGGGATTTCTTATTTGAAAAAAAATATATCCTTTCTGAATGACCTCAGCAGCAAGACAGAGGTGGGGGTGGGGTGGAGATCCAGGAGTCATTGACATAGCATTGGCTTAAACTAGAGGGATCTCTGGAGGTCGCAGGCAGTAGCAGAGGGTGAAGAAAGGCCTATGGAGGAGACGACGGGATGGAAATGGGTCTTCTCTCCACCTCCCCGTTGTGAGACATAGACCCAAGCACCATGCCTCTCTGAGCCTCTGAATCAATTTGCCACTTGTGCTAGGAAGCAGAAAGTAAACATTCCCTCTGGGGAACAGAAGGAGATGTCAAGAAGCATTCCTTATCTCAGAGAGAAAAACGTCCTGTCTGCCCCTGCTATTATGTTTAGCGTGGCGACCTTCTCCTAGTCTCCTGGTTACCATTCCAGGCAGGTAGCTTACAACAGGTGAGCTCTGAAGATGGACGAGCTATTGAAGAGTTGAGATGCAATCAGGTCCCTGTCCAGACACTCCAGGGTAGTCATGGCAGTGAACTGATGGGGCCAGCTAGTACATTCAGAGTGGATGCCACCTGGACACTGTGCTTTGAGAACCCCGCTCTCCTAAAACCTGTCCGTGACTATCTTTCCTTCCATACATTCCAGCAGCTTTCATCCAGGCAGACCCTGGACTTTGGGTCCTGTGATGGTGAGTTTTTTGAATCAACTAGGCAGGGCCCTAGTACACTCGACAAAATCTTATTTAGCCTATTTGTGTGAGGTATGGACACAGAAGATTAACTTCTAAATCCAGGGACTTGGGGTAAAGCAATTATTCTCCAGAATGTGGGTGGGCTTCATCCAACCAGCTGAAGGTCTACAGAGAGCAAAAGGATGGCCATCCATGAGCCAGAGGGAATTCTGCATGCAGGTGGCCATAAGCTGTTCCCTGGGCCTCCAGCCTTCCAGTACAACCTGCAGAGTTTGGACCTGGCAGCCTCCAAAATCATACTGTCAGTTCTGTAGAAGATGCACCCCTCCTACACACACACACACACACACACACACACACACACACACAGGGAAGAGAGAGATGTTCCTCAACTTAGCCAGAGTCATGCCCAGATAAACCCACCCTAAGTGGACCATATAAAGAAAAATATATCCTAGATGACCCAAGATTAAACACACTAGAGCACTTAATAGGCCCCACAGCTGGGCCAAGTTATCCAACCAAAGCCTGCCTTTTCTAATGTGGTGAAGATCTGCTGTACAGGGTAGAACACGTCACTGGCCGTGAGCAATAGAACACTGGGCTGTTGGCTCTGTTTCCTTCAGATCCCTGCCAATCACAGCTGCCCACATAGTTACTTTTACATCTGGATCTAGACAAGCTCATGGAGGGGTGAAGGGAATGCTGGGAAAGCGCCAATCCAAGCAGCCATAGTAGATGTGCCAGGGACAGCAGCTGCAGGCTGGACCACTGGGAAGAAGAAACTGTAGTTCATGCCCGGTAGGGGTGAGCAGGGGATGGATATCTTTGGGATGATCACAGAGGTGCTAGAAGGGACTTCTTGCTTCAGTTGAGTCCGGGACAGGGGCTAGTCATCTGGGGAGAGGAGACACCCTCCACTGCAGAAGCAAGAGCTAAGGAGATTGGGGGGGGGGGGGGGGCGCTGATCTGCTCTCTTGGCTCTGCCCAGGATGACAGAGCCTCACCCGGTCTGTGTGCCAAGTGGCCAGGTGGCCCTTGGCATTGACTGATTTGTGGTAACAATGACATCCTTTCTTATACCTTGATGTGAGCTTCTAAAGCACCTTCATCCCCATGGATAACTCGCCTCACCTCCCTCTCCCTACAAGGCCAGAAAACAACTTTCGGGTGACGGAGGAGGCTTTCTTTTCCATGCTTTGCAACCTCGTTTTGGTCTGAAGAAAACTAGAGTTTGGGGGCTGCCCCAAACTCCTGCTTTAATTTTAAAAAAGAAGAACAACCTCGGGAGAAGAACACACAGCTGGGCTGAGCAGGGGGGGGGGGGGTCCTTGGGAAAACACAGCAGGATACCATCTCCCGTGGGACATATCTCGGGTTCACGCTGGTGAGATTGTGAGCCCTGAATTGACACTAGCTTTGAGTTTCTGCTGTAACCATTCGGCTACAGGGTAGTGTGATTCCTCAAGAGCAAGCTCAAGAGCACCGACGTGGGAGAGGCAGTCTGCTCGGGTACCTGGGTATAGAGTTACCACAGGGAGTACTGGCACACAGACTCCTCCAGTCCTAAGAACAAGACACTTAGAGACCCCACCCAAGAAGGGGCACAGGGTCCTGCACACATCTAGTCTTAAGCCTAGTGGGAGAAGACAGGGTTGAGAGGGGATCTGAGACATTCAAGGAGCTAACTGAAGTTCCTGATTTTCAGGATCTTTAGGCATCAGAATCTGGGGGAGGTGGCAGTTTGGGTGGGGAGGCTGAAACATTACCCTGGATTTGAGCAAAATCATAGATGCCCATCTGTCTTATTCACCTTAGCTTAGAGCCCAGATGTGTGCTCAGGGCTTTTGGGGGGTCTCCCCCCCCCATATTGGTTTCCAGGACTCAACACCATCCTCATACCCTCCAGGATCCACAAACAGTCACAGCCAGTGTCCTTAGCAGCAAGCATCTCCCTCCCCCCTGCCTCCTGTGGTCCAGACATGCCACGTAAAAACTTCAATGTATCACTCCCACTGAACTCTTACTATGAAGTAGTTGCTGTAATTATCTCTACCTCATGGGTGAAAAAAGAAGGCACAGATAGTCTAAGTACTTTTGACGAGATCATACAGCAAGGTCCTAGGGACATGAGGCTTTGCATGCAGGTACCACAACAATGCTAGAATTGCCCTTTTCCATCCTAGTCTCTTCAGAGCCTCCTCCAGAGGACACCGCAGTATGACATTCTGCAGAGCACTCTGGCAAAGTACAAATGACCCGGGGTGGAATGCCTTTGTTTGTACAGGCGATGCCATCTCTTCACGGAACATTCAAATACAGTGTCACCCTCCTCTACAGTGGGCCGTCACATCTCATTTTCCTCTATTCTCTTTCTCCATCCTCCATGGCTGACCCAGATCCCTTGAGCTGTGAGTATTCAGCAGAAATTATAGGCCCAGCACAGAGGGGAGGGAGAGCCTGGAGGGAACAAAGGCAGTGTCGAGAACTTGGCCCCAGGGGCTGCGAAGAGCAGACTTCGCCTTCACAGACCATCATTTGGATATGACACCTGCAGTCCCAGACCTCAACAACTCAAAGGACCACAGAGGCACTCCCTGCCAGGAAGGCTTGCCAACAGTGTGCCTAGTGACCTTGGTCCCCTCTTCTGTTTGAGACTCATGAACCTTCTCCCACCTATTCCAAGCAGATTATAAAGGCAAACTCAGCTTGCCTCCCTCCCTCCACCCACTGGTCCTTCTCTGTTCCCTGAAGCCCAGCTCCGCTTACTGCTGACCCGAGAAGGCACGAAGTGACCAAGACCAGCCACAGGGATAGCCCTGAGAAGCAGCCCTCTTACCCAGGTCCATGTCTGCAGCCTTGGGCCGGTGGGAGCATGGTACATTCTTGAAGATGGCATCCAGAATCTTTTCTTTGACCTGGGTGATGGTGTCACAGTTGAGGATCTTCACGGGGACCTCTGGGCTGTTAGCGTTATCTGGACTGACACAGCTCAGGACCTGAGGGTGGCAGGAAGAGGTCACACAGGTGAGGACAGTGGGAAAGACTCCCCAATCTCAGCATCACCCTGGGATCCTTCGTGAATGGCTCCTCTCCATGATGGACTATGGAGGGGTCAGGGCAACTCCATCCTGTGCAGAAAGGCAGGATGGCACCATGTCTTCAACATCACCGCAGGAGTATAAGCTGTCCCCTGAACTTCCTATCAGGATGGATGCTCTGATTGCCTAAGGGGAACAGTGACGGAAGTGATGGTAGGGAGAGCATCTATAACAGGACAGATATAGAAGTATGCACACATATGCAGTTTCCTCACTTGTATACCCGTATGCTAGGGGACACCCCATTAGCACACCGAGACATCACTTCAAAGTCCACTTCATGTTATCACTGTTTGCCTTATTCCTCCAATACACAATCGCAGCTCTCTCTCTCTCTCTCTCTCTGTGTGTGTGTCTCTCTCTCTGTCTCTCTCTGTGTGTCTCTCTCTGCATGTATCTCTGTCTCTCTGTCTCTCTCTCTCACACACACACACACATACATACATACATACATATGCTCACACACATGCTCAGTACTAATGAGAAACCGGGCTCCTGTTTAAAAAGATTTAATAGCTTTGGTTTTGGGAAGCATTTCAGGTTGATTGGGGGCTGCTGGATCTATTAGAAACTTAATGTATTCTTTAAGTATAAAAAGGTGCCCTTTAAAAACTACAGCTTCAGGCCCCCCAAGAGGCCTTGCTGGCTGTGACCCTGAAGCCCTGGTCAGGTGAGGAGGCTGCTGCTAGTGCGCACGGCCTCTAGTTCTCATTTCAGAAAGAGATGGAAAAATTGAAACGGCTTCACCAGCTGTTGGCTTCCTTTGAGAAGTTCAAAGTGTTCCATTGGCCATCCTTATAGTGTGTTCTTTTTGTATTGCTGATACTTTGGGGTTCCCTGGGTGGACTTCAGTGGAACAGAAAGCCGGGTATGAGGTATGGGAATGGTGAGGGATATATAAGAGCCAGGCAGAGAGCCCTGGGTATTTGGGGACTTGAGGCCAGATGTCTTGCTTCTCTGGGCTCCCAGCTAGCCTTTTGTCCCTGGAGCCTGAGTGTTCCATGTCCCTCTCCTTCTCAGAACTTCAAAACCCCATGCCCCTCCCAGTAACCATTTCCCAATAGCCCCATCTGGCTCACAGAACCAGACTCCAGCCCTCCGCCTGCTCCATGTGGTGGTAATCAGAACCCTGGCCCTCATTCCTGCCTCTCATTAGCAGCTGGACTGCTAGGGGCACAAATGCAGAACATGCTTATTCCATTAAGAAGGGAAAGAAGGGGGGGCCCTAAATCTATAAAAATCAAACTCTCACCTTCAGAATGTCCTGCACTGAAAATAAAATAAGGGAGGCCAGGCCTCTGAGCTGAATGCCTATGAAGGCCTTCTCCCAGCCACTCCTCGTTCCTTCTCAGAACCTCCCATACCCCTCTCTTCTGCTCTGGCCACCGTGCTGTCCTGTCCTGTTGCCAGGCCAGTGATGGGCAGTTCCACCTCCCCTAGGCAGCAACAGAACCTTGTCCAGACTCTTTCCCCAGAAGGACCATGAAGCAGAGACTGATGCTGAAGGGTGATCTCCCAAAGCATGTCAGGGCAGGCACTGATCTTCCCAGGTGGAAGCAGTGGCTCACAGAAGACAGGGTCCCAGGTTCAGAAAAATGTCTTCTACTCCTGGCTCTTAACTGCTTCAGACCCATGCACCAGGTGCTTTCTCGGCAGGTTCCCAGGGAGGCTCTAGCCATCTGGAGGACTCCCAGGGAACATTTAGCATTCTCTCAGGTTCCTGGGAAGGGATGCAATGTTCAAACAGGCGCCTGGGGTGGGGTGGAGAGACCTAGACAGCTCGTGGGCTCCCAGGGGACACACATCTCATACTCTGGCAGGTGACTCGGTATGCATCTTATACACCCTACCAAGTTCCCGGATATCTAGTGTTCAAGAAGGTAACCTGGCAAGCATCTAGTCTTCTAGGAAGCTCCCTGGCAGGTAACCATGTGAGTGTCTAGCACTCCAGCAGGCTCCCTGGTATTGCAGTGTAAATCCTGGAGATCTCCCATGGCTGTGCTAACTCAACTTTCATCGGGACCAGGCCACGAACAGCAAAGCCAGAGTTCCCAGGGCTCCTCCAGTTGCTGCATGACCCCACCCTTCCCACCTTTATATTCGAGCTGCTCAGCAAGAGTCTCTGCTGCTCTGTCTGTCCTGGTGCGGGACCATCTTCCTGCATCACCACTGGGTGGAGCGTCCCCTTCACAGGTAGGAGCATCCTTTCCCGCAGCCCTGCCACGTCCAGGCAAGATAATCGCCCATTTCTCTCCCTTGCTTTCCTGGCCTATCTTCAGATGTTCCCAACTTAATGATTTCTTCCCATTCTCTGTAAGTCTGTCACCTGCCACCAGCTGGGCACCATCTTTCAGGCAGTGGAAATAAAGGCTGCTGCAATTTAGGACTGGAGCATGATTGTGATCATAACTCATTGTGTTGCACGGGGATGGAGGCGGGTGGGACGGGAGACATTTAAAGGTATTCCTCTCTCGCTAAGAAATCCATTCAAGCCTCTATTTTTGGAAGGGTGTGTTCCTTCTCCATTTTAATTGCAGTCTGTGACTTTCTTCTGTGAGCTGGGAACTGAGAGGGAGCAGAAGCCTCATTCACAGGCCATGTCTTCAGGTTCTCAGCAAGTCAGTCTATTGGGATTCCCGAGGGCCCTTGGAAAGATGGGGATGGGAGAATCAGGACAGCCTCCCATTGAGCAGAAATAGCTTTTTTTCTGAGGGGGATCATCTTCCTACCTGGCCATAGGATCTGAACGTGTCTGTGTGAGCACCTGTCTCTCCTAGCCTGGCCTCCACCCTCATCCCCACTCGATCCTGACTACTCGGTACAGCACCTGTCTGGAGCCACGCCCATGCATCGGCTGAGGAGTCACTGAGATGCAGCTGAGCCTCTGGGCACCCTGGTGCATGGGCCACAGGGAGCAGAGGTGGGCCCACAGCAGGCATCTGCCTGGGCCCTACAACCAACAAAGCTGGAAAGGTGATTTGTTCAGCATTTTCGCCATTTCTTCTTCAGGAAAGGGCTGCCCAAGTGCCAAAGCTGACCTACGGGAGCAGCCAGAGGGCTTACCAGGGTTTTGTATTCGATCTGCTGCCGGATGAGCTTGTCCTCACTCAGGGAGTAGCGGGCCTCTCCTGTGATGGCGTCGATAGGGCCCTTCTCCATCTGCTGCTTGATGGCACAGAACAGGGAGAAGAGGGGCTCCCCAGCACACTCCTGCGTGAGAGGAGAATCCCAGAATTAGAATTCAGGGATCCAAGGTATGTAGGGCTCACCCTACTGTCCTTGCTGTCCTGGTCCTGATTGTTTGTTTCTTGGCTCACTTTTCCCATCTCCTCTTCTATGCTCTTCAGATTTGCATGGGTTCCTGCCCTGTGGGCCCAGGTGATTCTGTAATTTCCTGCCACCTGTTCAGAACATGCCCTCCCTTCCTTACTTCCTTTTTTTCCTTCCTTCCTTCCTTCCTCCCTCCCTCCCTCCCTCCCTTCCTCCCTCCCTCCCTCTCTACTATCCTCTCTGCTCCTTCTCCCGCCCCACCCCATCCTGCTTTCTTTGTGAACCAATCAAGAGGCAGAGGTTGGTTCTCTGAGTTGATGACTCCTCTGCCTCCCTGGCCCACCCTCAGTTTATCTGCAGCAGCATGACTACGTGCCTGCCCTGGGACCCTTCATCAGCGTCCATAAGTCTGATACTGGGGGCAAAGAGGAGCTTGGGAGGGGAGAGGAAATGGGGAACTCACAGGTGACTTGTGTTCAGCTGAAAATGGGAATTTAGCTGAGGACCACATGGAACCCTCTCACTTGGGTCTTTCTTCAGTTCAGTTTCCCGACAATAAAGAACTTGTGGGTTGGGTATGTCGGGCTCCATAAGAATAGACATATAGGGATTATAGAGTCGAGTGTAGCAGGCTGAGGAGGTAAAAGGCTTACATCCAGGAGAGGAAGAACTTTAGTAGGACTGGAAATGTGTGCTCATCACATCCTACCTTGAGGAACTTGTAGAGGAGGAAGGTAAACCAATTGGTTAGCATCTTCTCAGCCACTGACTCCGTCCTGGCATCCATCACCAAGGGAAAAGGGGAAAGAAGACAAGAAGTAGCTGGTCAGAGGCCATGGGCTAGGTAGAGTGGGAGAAGAACCTGCCACCATCTTGCTGAATACAGTGTCTGGTGACCTAACGTACAGGAGAGTCTTACGGCGTGCCAGGCCCCCAGGGCTGAGAACGAGCATTTTCTGAAAATCTGGAGCCTGGCTGCTGGGCCTGCATGTGCTGTGTGAAGGTTTTCCTTGTCTACAGAGGTGCTATCCCATCCCACTTCACAGCAATGGCAATGGCCTTCACATAAGTTGTCCAGTTGCTATGTGTCACATGTGGCTACGGAATAGTTGAAATGTGGTCAGTGTGTCTGAGGAGCTAAAGTCTGCCCACTTATCTAGTGAATTTAGATTTGAGTCATTACATGTAGCTGAAGGCCTGTTGGATAGTACAGCCCTAGGAGAACTTGGGGAGAGACCAATGCATTCCTATTGGGAAAGAAAGAAAGAAAATCAAAACAAAAGGCTGGGGGCTATTAATTGGGCAGGGTATAGGAAGGAAAGTGGCATAGAAAGGCGATACAGTAGAGAGACAAGATATTCCCTTTGAAGCCTGTTACCTTATCTAGACTCAGAGCATTAACTGCCACACAGAGGGTGACCATAGCCTGTCCACAGATAAGCTAACATTGTCGTATCTCAAAGGCTGCTGAGTACTTCTAAGGAATGCTTCTGCACTGGCAGGGAATACTTTTTTGAGTATAACCGCTATCTTTCATGTCATGGCTGAAGCCTGCTTATTCTTTCCTTAGGTGAAAGAAGATACTGCCCAGCAGTGGTGTCGCATGTCCTTAATCCCAGCACTTGGGAGGCTGAGTCAGGCGGGTCTCTAGTTCCAGGCCAGCCTGGTCTACAATGTGAGTTGCAGGTCAGGCAGGGCTACTCAGAGAAACTCTGCCTCAAAAAAGCAAAAGAAGATGTGAGGGAGGGAAGGAGAGAGGGAGGGGAGAGGGAGGAAGGAGGAGGGAAGGAAGAAAGGGGAAGGGAAGGGGAGGGAAAGAGGGATGGGGGAAGGAAGGAGGGAGCGAGGGAAGAAGAAGAAGATGCTGTCAAAGTGTTGCTGATTTGAACTGCACACATTCAAGGATTAAAACTTGTGCTGAGAGTATAGTCAATGCCAGCGACAAACTAGCCCGTCTAGACAGATCTTGGTGAACTTAAATACATAGTTGCTAGAAAATACTGATAACTGAAACCTCCAGGTGTTTGGGCAGCTGCTGGTATGCAGGGAAGAGAAACAGGAAAGAGAAAGAGGAAGACAATTGTGGGGAGCCAGTGGCAAGAAGAACAGAAGGAAGTGGGGGAGGGAAAGTGCAGGAGCATCCGGGGAGCACAAGAAGAAAACAAGGAGAGGAGAGAGACCCAAAGCGAGACCATGAGACCATGCCAGGAAATTGTCAGTGGGAGTTGCCGGCAGGCGGCGGCAACCCTAGAATTATGCCAGTGGGCGGCTACATGGTGAAAGCAAAACAAAAATCAACATTATCTACCTTGCCGTTTGCAGAGCTGTGGGATTCTCCTTGGCACCACAGTCTTTTGCAGCTGGGCAGGCAAATGTGCACCCCCCCCCCAAGTCTAAAACAAACTATTTGGAAAGCTAAGTACATCTATCTGCCAGACAGGGAAGCAGTATTGAGTCCTGGAGTCTGACCCAGAGACCACGGGGGCAAAGGTCAGGAAGACAGGATGGAGTGGTCTGGCCAGAGAGCTGGATGTGGTGGTTTCCACAGTGTTTTCTAACTGTACCTGTACCAGGGCTATTATTATTGGAATAACAGCTGAGAAGAGAAATGGGTACCCTTCAAATGGATGTCCACATAGAATAGGAGTCCTGTGTTTTCTAACCAAGCCAAATAACAGGGTAGGAATGGCTGACACTTGTCTGGCCTTGTGGGTTTAGAAACACACCTGCCCTGCAGTGGTGGTGCATGTCCTTAATCCCAGCACTTGGGAGGCAGAGGCAGGCAGATCTCTAAGTTCCAGGCCAGCCTGGTCTACAATGTGAGTTGCAGGTCAGCCAGGGCTACTCAGAGAAACCCTGCCTCAAAAAAACCAAAAGAGGGAGGGAGGGAGAGAAGGAGGGAGGGAGGGAAGGACAAGGGAGGGAGAGAGGAGGGAGGGAGGGAGCAAATGTTATGGCTCAAATGAGATGCTTTCCACAGGTTCATGTGTTTAAATGTTGGGTCTCCAAAGCTGGTAGTGACACTATTTTGGGGGTCATGGAACCTTTAAGAGGTGGAGCATTGCTGAAGGATGGCCACAAAGTCACTATTTCCTTCCTCACCATGATGGACTCTACCTCCTCAAACTGTGAGCCACAAGAAACCTTTCCTACTTTAATTCTCTTGCATTAGGTGTTTGGCCACAGTAATGAGAAACCTAATACCGTTTTACTTTGTCCAGCAGAGAATCCAGAGCCCATAGCAGGGGTCAGGACCTGCTTGTTGGGCTGCACTGAGTCAGTTGTACCCAAAGACTTTCACTTTCTGTTTTTCAAATGGTAACACCCATTCAAGCTGCTTAGTTCACTGTTAACCTGTAGATCCCCATCAGGTCTGGGAGTGGCCCAAGAACTTCATTTCTTTAGTCTTGTATGCTGTTCTTGCTGCTGGTCCATCAAGAGTCTGAGGTCTGTTTCTACTTCTAGTCCTGGCCTAAATGAGGCCAGGTCATGGCCTAACTGATCTCTGATACAGAGCTATGTAATTCAGGAGCAGAAGGGCAGGGTATCAGGGAAACAGATGTGTGGTGAGCTGGTCTGTAGGCATGCAGGTAATGGGTGTGACTAGCCGCCTGCAGGTCAGTGTTTTACCTATAGGAAGCATAGTTGATCCCTCTGTAGCCTACCTGGTACACAGAGGGCTCCAGGATTCATACCTAAGGCTTGGGCTGGGGTAGGAGTACTCTGACCTCTGCTGACCACCTTAGGCCTCTCTTACCTCCTGAGCAGCAACTTGGGATGGTTCTTGCTCTCCAGGTTCTTATCAATGAGGTCAGCCAAGAGCTGCTTCAGCACATCGGTGGCATATTCTAGCTTGCTCTGAAGGACCGTCATAATGAGAGAGGCCACGTTCCCTCGGTCACGCATGGAGAAGCTGCGCTGAGACTCAAGAGTGCGGATGAAAGATAAGAGGAACACCTTGTTGTTGATGAGCTGGGCGAAGAGCTTCAGGCCTTTCTCCACACGCTCCTGCCGGTAGCCTGGGACCTGTGGCAGGATGCGGGGTCCTCACATGAGCTCTGGAGTGCCCCATTTACTGCTTCACAAGGCTCCTGTTCCCCTTAGTCTAGACACAGTTGATCTGGCTAACACTACCAAGTCCTTCTCGGGTGTCAGGCATGGGGCTTAGTATCTTTTTAACCTCCATCACAGCACACGAAGCGGGGAGGTAGTTACAGTCTTGAGACCCAGCCACTAATACTAGGAGAATTAACCACAGTTCCCAAGAAGTAGCAATGAGATTTGAACCCACTTGAGGAGACTCTACAACCTTAGCACTTCCCTGATGGTGATGCAGAGTCAACAAAGGGCCTGTGCTCCTGATCACCTCCTAACTCTCTGGAGCCCTGAAAGGCCAGAACTGCTGTGGTTTGTGTTCTGTTTCAGGGATTACCAGGCCTGGGCTCCCGGTTAAGCTAACACCCACCCCTTCCTTCTCCATTCCCAGAGGTCCTGTGATCAAACAATCAAGATGACTGAATTTTCCCAGGACTCTGACACCACCACACTCTGTGTGTCAGTTAGGGCTTTAGTCTCTGTGAAGAGACACCATGACCATGGCAACCATTATAAAGGAAAACATTTAATTGGGTGCCTTACAGTTTCAGAGATTTAGCCCATTATCATCATGGCAGGGTATGGCAGCAAGCAGTTAGACATACTGCTGGAGAAGGAGCTGAGATTGGAGAGGGAGCCATATCTTAATCTCACAGGTAATAGGAAATGGTCTGAGTGTCACACTAAGAGAAGCTTGAGCAAAGGAGACCTCAAAGCCCACCCACACAGTGACATACTTCCTCCAACAAGACCACACCTACAAAATCACACCTCATAATAGTACCACTCCCTATAAGCTTATGGGGGCCAATTCCATTCAAACTACCACACTCTGTAAGCTTGTGCAAGTTTGTTTATCTCTTAGGGACCTCAACTTACCTACTTTAGGAAAAGGAGAGACAGGCCTTGAATGGAGCACCCTTGTGTTCTCTACCCAGGAGAAGGAAGGTGACTCTACCTTCTTCCCTGCAGGATAGGGGGGGTTGGGAAATACCCAGGAGGGTACAATCATCTTAAGAGAGATTTTTTGGCTGCCTAGCTAAGCATGAAGGGCAGTCCCTAAGATGTCCAGGAAGGGGCACAGTAGCCCTGTTCAGAAGAACCTCAGGCTGGTGTCTCCAAGATACCCAGCAGCAAGGGAAGGGATGGATGCTCCATAGCCCTGAGATGGAAATGTTCCACTCCTCACCATAGCAAAGTGGCCAGTGCTATGAACAGACTGAATGAAGAGGACTGACACTAGAGTGGGCTAGATGGACATTAGAGTGGGCTAGACAGGCACTAGAGTGGGCTAGACGGGGGCACTAGAGTGGACTAGACAGGCACTAGAGTGGGCTAGACGGGCACTAGAGTGGGCTAGACGGGCACTAGAGTGGGCTAGACGGGCACTAGAGTGGGCTAGATGGACATTAGAGTGGGCTAGATGGGCACTAGGGTGGGCTAGATGGGCACTAGAGTGGACTAGACGGGCACTAGAGAGGGCTAGACGGGCACTAGAGTGGGCTAGATGGGCACTAGAGTGGGCTAGACGGGCACTAGAGTGGGCTAGATGGGCACTAGAGTGGACTAGACGGGCACTAGAGAGGGCTAGACGGGCACTAGAGTGGGCTAGATGGGCACTAGAGTGGGCTAGACGGGCACTAGAGAAGGCTAGACGGGCACTAGAGTGGGCTAGATGGACATTAGAGTGGGCTAGACGGGCACTAGAGTAGGCTAGATGGGCACTAGAGTGGACTAGACGGGCACTAGAGAGGGCTAGACGGGCACTAGAGTGGGCTAGATGGGCACTAGAGTGGGCTAGACGGGCACTAGAGTGGGCTAGACGGGCACTAGAGTGGGCTAGACGGGCACTAGAGTTGGCTAGATGGACACTAGAGTGGACTAGACGGGCACTAGAGGGGGCTAGATGGGCACTAGAGTGGGATAGACGGGCACTAGAGTGGGCTAGACGGGCACTAGAGTGGGCTAGACGGGCACTAGAGTGGGCTAGACGGGCACTAGAGTGGGCTAGACGGGCACTAGAGTGGGCTAGATGGGCACTAGAGTGGGCTAGACGGGCACTAGAGTAGGCTAGATGGGCACTAGAGTGGACTAGACGGGCACTAGAGAGGGCTAGACGGGCACTAGAGTGGCTCACTCCTCACAGAGTACCATTCAAACTCTGATTTTGGACAGGAAAGATAACAGTAATAGTGAGGTTGTTTGCTTGGGCAGCTGGAAGGGCACACAGGATGCCTAGAGACCTGGTGCTGCCTCTTGATCTGAACAGCGACTCAATGGATGGGACAGGTGGGCTCTCTTGAGGACCTGTCAGTCACTGTCCTGAGCAGTGATATATGCATATTGCTTTGCATGTTTGCTTTTGAGAAAACCAATGAACTCTTGGGAATGCAGCCACAGGCCTGGCCCTCATAGGTTCCTTCTTGGAACACTGAGCCGGGCTTGTCTCCTTGAGTGCATCACCTGAATGTATTGTGAGGCAGAGGGACAGAGATGCCAAGAGAGATTCTTAAGGGCTATGTCCCAACCCCTCAGGTCTTTGAGAAGGACTGCAGGACTGCCATGTATGTCAAAGAACATTGTTTCAAAGTTGGTCAGGCTTGGGCTAAATTCTGTCACCGTCACTCACTAGCTGTTAATTTCTTCACCAGAAAAGTATGTTGTTGAAAGAGCTAATATGCATATGGACCTTTCTCTCTGCCAAGTCTCCTTTGGACTGATTCTGATGTATTGGCCTGTTTAATCCACAGAACACTCTAGGGTGCAGGCTGTGTTAGGACCTCTGGAACAGCATGAGGACAGGAGCTTCCTCAGGATCCCAAGACAGAAGCCTCAAAGCTAGGCCATGACCCAAGCTGTCAGGACTGTGTCCTACCCTATCCATGGGACATTGCATGGCACAGACAACTTGTGAGAAGCCTGTTGTGCTGAGTGCCACCCACAGTGGAGTCACAGAGGGCGGCTATTTTATTCTGCCGTACTCCCGGGGTTTCAACTAGAAAGGGCTGACAGAGGCAGACAGAGATCGCCTGTTGGCTCTAGGTCACAGAAGGTGGCAGAAATAGTCATTCTCCCCTCAACTCAGAAGCCCCTGTGTTCTGGATCCAGGTTGATGTCAGCTAGAAGCAAGTTCCAAGTCCCCAGCTCCTCTGCAGAGGGCGCACTGGGCCTCCATCTACTCTGCCTAGAAGGGGGTCTTAAGCGAGCTTTCCTGGCAGCAGGTCATTCTGATGGTTCTGGAATCTCAGAGGAAGCCTGTATGCTCCCAGAACCAGTCCCGTGTCATCCTCTGACCGCAGCACTAGTACTTGGAAAGCCAGTTCTCAGATGGAGAAGGGAGGACAGATCCAAGAGTATACAGTAGGTATCAGCTAGGACAACCTGGCAGCTCATCTTGTCCCTCATCATAGCCCCACCCTCCTGAGTCCCTCATTGTCACAAGAGGGCCCAGCTTTGATTTACCTTATACCCAGCTCCTTTGGTTCCCTGACCCATGGTGGACAGATGCAGTACTGGCAGCGGATCCATGGTAGCCTCCCTCTGCCACAGCTCAAGCATTCATTTACCACCTGTCTGCTTCCTCCTGACTTTTTCCCTAAAAGTGTGATTGCCTCCTCACACACGTGGTCATGCTTTGCATCCTCTCCTTCCAGCTCTCCTCAGCGTGACTCCTCTGTTACTTGAACTAACTATGGCAGATACTACTGTTTCCTGGGCACTGTGTGCCCTGCACATATTGTGTGCATTCTTAACAGTCTTACACAGGACAGCTGTGATCTTCTCAGCGTCTTAGAGAAATCACCACACTTGTCGCAGGCCACCCTACTGCTAAAGGGCAGTGCTGGATTTTCCAACCCAGTCTCCCCACCTGTCACCACATCTATCCCACTCCTGGATTCAAGGGCTATCTCAAAGCTAACACAAGCTTCTCCCTGCAGCTTTCCCAGGCACAGCCACCCACCCAGCTGCTCAGGCTGTCCCGAGAGAGAGGCTGTCAGAGGGAGAGGTAGTCACGAGCAGGTTTGGCAGTGCAGCATATGGAGAGGACACTGTGCCAGCTCCATGGCACTCCACCCTCTGAACCTACAGTGTGAGCTTCTCTTGCACCTTAAAAAAATTCCTATGCCCGTGGCCAGCAAGCACCTGGGGTTCAAGGCAGGACAGTTTTGGCTAGCCTCTTGCAGGAAAGATACCACTGTCAGCAGCCTGGGTTCTGGAATCAGAGGGCATTGGAACTGTGTGTGGAAGAGAAATCCAACCCCTCCTGAGTCTACTGCCTCGTCTATAAAATGGGAATATGAGGGCCTGTGTCATAATGTTTTACGAACTCTAAATGAGATAATGTGTGTGGAGTACGTGGCACGCAGCCTGTGCGTAGAATCAGCAGTGGTTTTACTATCTGTCTCTGCATGTCCTGGACTGCTGTTTTCTGGTCTCTGTTTGCCAGGAGTTTCTAGATGTCTAACATGCATCCCTCTCTGTCCTGGAGCTGGAGGTGGACATTTTCTCCCCGTCTGATAGAGAGTGGAGATGGAAGTGAAGCATCTTGGGAAAGGGTACCCAGAACCACCACGCTCGTACTCTGCCGCCCCTCCCCACCCCTGGCCAAAGTCACTCTGAAACCAAATACTCTTTATTACCCAGATGGTTCTGCACTTTAGTTGAATTCTGCGCCTATAAAACTGGATAGTAAATTTTAATTGTAACCCAATAGGTTAGAATTTCGGAGCCAGTGATGGGTCGAAACTGGGAATGAGGGGCTGGTAGTTCTTTGTGTTTTTAAAGGACTGGCATGTGACTAGGACCAGGAAAGTCTCTTCCTCGAGTGCCTCCATTGCCCCATGCGATCTAGTGACCTAGCGAAGCAAGAAGACAGGCTCCCTTTATACCTTCTGCTGCGGCCATGTGGCCATGCGGATGAAATGGCAGGGAAACACGGCTTTCATAAATGGGGTATCTCCACACCCAGAACACCAAGGAAGAACGTTCCATAGCAAGGACAAGTTGGAAACGAACAAATATTAGTCCAATAAGACCACATAACGCCCACAAATCCCATAGTGTTAGCATGGTAGAGCTGATTTCTGGGTCCAATTTTGACATGGGCTTCAAAAACCCCATTCAAAAGTTATATGCTCATGCAGATGGGATTTTGAACTAGTGAAATGAACAAAATAACTATATACCCAGCCTGGTTGAAGTCTTAGGTTATTTCTGCTGATGTCCACAGACAGGGTATTACCACCCTTGCTAGGATTGCTGTGTCCTCTCTAGTACAGACAGACAGACAGACAGACAGACATTCTTTCACTCAGATGTTTCCGGCACTGATACGCTATGCCAGGGTCCCCACCTCAGATCATGATGGTGAAGGACATAGTCTCTACACCAGCAACACACACACACACACAGACAGTGACCTATCTGCTTATCCCCCTCCCGCCCCAACTTCTCTGGGTTAGAAACTCATGAGCTCTTTTATGTTCTGAGAAGTCTGGAATCTGGGTGGAAATTAAAGTGAGGCTGAGGAAAGATGAAAGACAAGGAAAATAGTAGTAGGGGGAGGAGCAAAGATGAAGAGTCCAAAGAAGGCAATGGATGGGGTGGGTGTCCTGAGATTCCTAGTATCTTTGTGCATAAACATATGGCACAAGTATAAACACACACACACTCACGCATATATTGAGAGACTAGAGGCTCACGGTCAAAGAGAAGGTGGGGCCATTGCCTACAGTCTCTGAAAGTGCTTAGTAGAGTATATAGGTCGGAGGGGCAAGGAGATTATCTCTAAGACAGAAACACACATTTTCTCATTAGAAAATTACATATACAAGCACACATGCATGTGTGCATGTGAATGCATGCACACTTGCATGCATACATGCTCTGCATCATCTAATAGACAACTATGGAGAAACACGGTGCTGTAAGCATGACTGAATGAGCAGCATGTGTTGCAATGGTGCACAGCCTGCTGCAACTAAAGAGACCCCATGTGGACACTTCCTCCAACATCAGTATCTACAACACTGAGCACAGGGTCTGTTTTCACTGTGTGGACAATTGTGTGTGCACACGGACTTGCATCTTACTTTCTGTTGTTGCTTTATCTGTCGATTCTGCTTCGTCCTGATAGGCTAGCAGAGCCGAAGGACATCCAGAGTTACGGCACACAGGCTCACAGCCGGAAGACACATGGAGTCTGGCAGCCTTGACTCTGCTTCTGGCTCAGCCCCCAGCAACTGTGTGCACTAGTCACTCCCTGGGCTTCTCTGCCCTCATACTTTGCACACCTTTAAAATGGGTTTAATCTTCTTGTCCTGGGAATGTAGATGGCTGAATGCATAAAAACTACTTAAAACTGAGTAAGGATTTTAAGGGCTCACAACTTCTGATGGTCATCCCTCAGGATTCCTATTTCTCCCTGTTTTCCTCATTCATCATTCTTCACTTTCCCCTGCTATTTATCTTGATAAGCCGTTCGAAAGCCCTTTCAGAATAGAGTGTAATATAACTATATGCATAAGTGAGATAGCATGCAAGACAGCAAATGGGATAACGTTTTCAAAAGATAGCAGTACAACAGTAGGGTTTTTATCATTCCCACTTCCACCTCCCTTCCTCATGTATTGCTTGTCTTTCCCAATGGAAGCGTCAAACGGTAAAATCCCTCATACACATATTGAGTACCAATTAATTAGCAAAACCCTTTATACCGTGGTTTACTAAACCCAAGTCCATGAACTCTCCATGCTTATCTGACATAATATTTGGTTGTGTCTACACTGGATTGGTTTGAATGAGAACGGCTCACATAGGCTCATACATGTAAACGCTTGGTCCCCAGTTGGTGGCACTGTTCACAAAATATGGCCCCGTTGGAGGAGGAGGTGTGATGGTGTGGGTGGGTTTAGAGGTTTCAAAAGCCTGTGCCATTTTCAGTTAGATCTCTCTGTTTTATGATTGTTGCCTAAAGATGTAGGCTCTCAGCTAACGCTTCGCACCATGCCTGCCTGTTTGCGGCCATGCTTCTCATCGTGATGCTCATGGACTCACTCACCTTCTGAAACTGTGAGCTCCAATAAACTCTTTCTTCTGTAAGTCACCTTGGTCAGGGTGTCTCACCACTCAAAAGAAAAATATCTAAGACATACGTGTATAGTTTCTCTTGGAAGAAGGTTCTCTCTATTCATTCAATCCTGTAAGGGCTCTATGAGCACCTAAGACCTCAAAGCTCCACTAAAACCTGTGATCTGTTTTGACTCCATCTTACCAAGAAACTGGCTTGGGGACCATAGGCAAGGCGTGCTGTCTTCCTGACCTCAGTTTTCTCACTTCTGAATCAGGATGCTGCGCTTCCTGCCACGACACCAGCGGCGGGAGGGGGGTGGGAGGGGGGGCACTGATTCTTACCTCCAGGTCACGTAGCACAGGATGGTCTTCAATCCCTGGGAACAGCACCCGCATCGTGTAGGTCCTGTAGTCCAGGAAGGGAATCCCAGCTCCGTCCAGGTCACTGGTGAGCTCATGGATATCTGTCTGCAGCTCTGCAAAAGCTGGCACAATGAGAAGCCCATGCGGGGCCTGTGGTGACAGCTCACTAGGTAACACGCTTGCCTTGCAAATATGAAGACCTGGCTTTGAGCCTTATCTCAAAAAAAAAAAATTCCTGGGCATGGTAGTACACAACTGTAAGCCTAGCGTTCAGGACATAGAGTCAGGAGGATCCTGGTACTCACTAGCCAGCTAGGCTACCCCAGGTGGAGAACTCCAGGCCAGTGACAGACCCTGGTTTAAAAAACAAGGTGGGCAGAGCCTGAAGAAAAACAGCAGAGAATTTTGTGAGCTGCTAGGGCCAGTGGATGAGGGCCAGCCTGAGAGTTACCTCTCTAAGAATGCTCACAACCATCACCCTGGTTCCTGGGGGTGTTATCTAGGGACCTGTGCATGTAAGAATGACAGGGCTAGATGGCATCAGCGTGGGAGAAAGCTGGTCTGGAGCCTCAAGTCTTTCAAATAGCAAAGGAATGGAAAGCTACCCTCAGACATAATGCTATAGGGATCAAAAGGTTTGCAAAGTCTGTTGGGAAGGGAAATATAAAAAGGCAGGAGGACAGAGGGGACAGGACAGAGAGATTAGCCTATGCTTAGTGCTGCACTTTGAACTGAGTTTTCTTTACAAAGTCAAGAACAATAAAAAAAAAAGTTTGAATATCCAATTCTAGATCATGTAATTCTTAGAAACCAAGGCTTGGGCAGAGGGCCGGCCACTCTAACTTATATCTTCTGCATGGATATGAAGGCTTACCTTTGACCTTCCTGCACCAATGCAATGCTATCTGGTGGGTTATAATTGTCTGTGAGGGCAGCTTAGACCTCCAGATGGATACAGTCACAAGGCCCCAGCTGGCCGCAAGGAAAATCTGGCATGCAGTACAGCCCAGAGCCAACACTGGCATACTCCATCCTGGCACAGTGCCCCCTGAGGCCATCCTCTGCTACCTAAGAGCTGCAGCTGTCAGTCCTGCTAAAGTATGGCATTCTCCTTCATGCATGTCCCCACACACATCTGCATACATGCATGTATAAACATACATGTACACACATGAACAGATTGCATTGGCACACACTGACAAAGAACAAGTTGTGATTGTTGCCTAACCAATGTTTATTTTCATTTATATAAACTTAAGACTAGGGGAAAAGAGTAGTTGGTGGGTTCAGAAGGGACTCACAAGCTCTAAGGGCTCTAGGGACATCAAAGAGCAAGCCCATTACCTAATGGTGCATGGTGACATATAAGCATGATACAAGTACCCTGAACTGCACACGGGGTCCTGCATTGTCCCTTTTGGTGGCTATGGCAAACTGACGTGAGGTCTGTGGGTTTCCATGAGTCTCGATGCCAGGAGAGCCCTGGTAAGGATGGGGGCTTAGCTGGACACTAGCAGACCACAGCCTTTTCTGGTGCTCCCTTTCCATGGCCTTGCTCCCCATTCTGTTACGTGGATGCTGGGGTTCTTGTCAAGCAGTGACGCAAGAGGCAGAAGCCCGAATGCTTCTGAACACACTCCAATGCATGCGAGCAACTGCGTGTTCCTAAAGGAAGCCAGGAGACCTCTGTGGCATGCACCGTCACCACAGCCTAACAAACAGGTATTGATGGCTCATCTTAATTGCTAGCTTGAGTGGACTGAGAAGTACCTAGGAGATTAGTGAGGCTTATCTCTGGGTGTGTCTGTAAGGGCATTTTCAGAGACAGTGAGATAGTAATTATTGATGGATTGACTCATCCTTTGATGGATTCATAATATGATGTTGCTGATGGGAAGGCATCGATTTATGGAAAATGAGGCCTGGGATCACTGGAGTGTGGGGCTGTCCTCGGGACTATGTATTGCCTGGGTCCCTTTCTGTTTCTGCTCTGCTTTGCTTCCTGTCAGCTGTCAGTTTAGCGCTCTACCATGCTCCACCTACTCTATGATGGATGAACCTTCCGAAACCATGAGAAAAGAAGCCCTCCTTTAAGTTGGTTTGGTTGGGTCATTCGATCAGTGTTCTAAACTGACCAACACACTTGTGCATATCCAGAGTAAAGAACATATATCTCTCTGTGTGTGTATGTGTGTGTGTGTGTGCGCGCGCGCGTGTGTGTGTGTAAGTGGGAAGGAGTGGGGTGCACATGTTTGAGTGTCTGCCTGTTTTAACTTATATAAGGGTGTGCAAGCATGTCAGTGAGGATGCAGAATGGAAATGTGTGCTTGCACACATGTATGCCAATATAACCAAAGCTCAGGGCTACGCTGGCGTATTCTAGTGTAGGTGTGGGTAGCTTCCTGGCTGACAGTGAAATTTCCACACAAACCCTTGCCCTGAGCCCAAGCTGCCTCATAAACATGCAGAAGTCGCCTTGGCATCCTGGAAAGTGCCTCCATGCTCAACTTCTTTGCAGTAAGATGCCTCCTTCCACCCAGTATCATAAGGGTCCCCAGCTAGAAGTCATGGTCCCATTGGGACTCCAGAGGTATTTTGCCCACTGAGCCTTTCTTCCCCAAGGAGCATCTAGAGGAGCTTGGCACCCCCGCCCCCACTCCCTTCAGCTGCCTCCTCTGATTGGGCTGCTTCACTGGCCAGGAGAAAAAGGAGGGAGTCAGGTTTGATGGGTCTGCAGTTTCCTTTAAGTCACCCGGCGCCTCCAACATTCAAAGCCTCACGCCTGCCACACATAAAAGAGATTCTAATCACTACACCTAATTAGAGGGAAGAGTACATTGCAGAGAAAAAAAATTAAGCAGTGTAAATATAATAAAAGGCAGTAATTAACAGTCCCACAAGGCAGATGCCGGGATGACAGCTGAAGGATGCATAGATGCATTGGAGCCTTGTCCCCATCAAAAGAGGCAGAGCTTCACCAGTGGAAACCTGTATGATGCTGGAGTACAGGGCTGGATTAACACTGGGTATATACAACCCACTGAGAGACAGTTCAGTTCCTTCCTCACAGAGCGGGCTTACAGAAGGATGTCCTGGGGTTCTAAGAGTCTGCGAGCTAAGCTGCCTTCTTGGGTTTGACACCGCTGATCTCCCTTCACGGTGGCTTGGGTACATTTTTCAAATATGAGCTGTGAAACACTCTTCCTTTGAAATCACAGATCAAGCCCACCGAATTCCCTTCCTGCTGATAGAAGAAAACTTCTTCTAACGGGATTGCTTGCATGTATCATGTGGAGACAACCCCAGGTCTTCCCTGGAGGAGACTGGCAACTCCCATCCCCTGCTACCAGAGTTCTGAATCTGGACAGTGTTCTTAGTGTATAGATGATCTCAGCAGCATATCTGGATGGAGTGGGGAGTAAACCAGAGATAGATTGCTAGATAGGGTTTTGGGTCTGGAACCCAGGTTATGCTCAGACTGGCAGAAAGGTTCTGCAGCTCAAATACCCAGCCTGTGAGGTCACCCAGTGCAGCCCAGCTTGCTGGCCTGTGAATGGGAGGCACACACATAGGTAGCCACACACACACACCCTGACTCACACAAGTATATACATGTATACACACAACCTCCATCCCTGCCTGCTATATCTAGCTAGCTGGCCTGTAAATGAAAGACATGAACACATGTGTATATTTACACACATAACTACCACTCACTGCAGTTCCACCAGCTGGCTAATGGACTTACAGACATGTATATAACCTTCAGCACTGTCAAATGCTGCCAAGGCTTATTGGTGTTGTAAAGAGGCACATATGTGTATATACATACATATGTTGTCTTATTTATGTTTACATGCATACATAGCCTCTAACGCTACCCACTGCTGCCCAGCCTGCGTACTTGTTTGTATGTGACAAGTACGCACGTGTGCACACACAGACTCCACACCAGGCACCAGCACCTGGACACTTCGTACCTTCTTTGCACTCCAGGGCCACACGGGACTCAAGGTTGTCCATCTGCATCTGTAGTCGCTTCAGCGTGAGGTCGCTTTCTCGGGACTTGCGTTTGTAGGCGATGAGGACCGCCACGATGAAGATGATGAGGAGACCACCAGCCACTGCGATGCTGACGATGGCGGGCAGGCTGAGCGGGCTGTCTGGGGCAATGTACACCATCCCAGGGGAATACTCCATGCCACCCACCCGTGCCTGTGGACACAGAGAAGAGAGGGGCTGTAGCAGGGCAGACTGGGGAAGAGTTCTAAGTCAGAAGGGAAACGTGATTGTCAGTGAGAAGCCACCCCCCCATACACACACCCCATCAGAAAAATAGAAGAGAGAGCATGGACAGCAGAGACCACCCTTCCGCTAGAAAGTGTGCCCATCTCTCACTCAGGAGGACACAGTCATCATAAGGGAACAGCTCACTACTGCAGTGCAAACACAGTGATATAACACCAACAGCTGGCTTCCCTGAGACTTGTCCTGCCATCAGGTTGAGAACTAAGACACAGAAATGGCATCATGGACCACTGTACACCGATACGATCCTTGTCTTAAAGGCCTTCTTGGCCCTAACAGACAGAACATGACTCTGTTTAATGATTTGCCCTTGTTGTACCAGTCAGGACAGACAGAGTGACCCTAGAAGCTGGCTAGTGGGACAGGCACATGGGAACGGTCTGGGTGAGCTGGGAGGGAAGCTGTCAGTGGGCAGAAGTCTCCAGCTGAGCCACTCCCACCCAGCATCCCTCAAGCCCCATCCGCACACAATGGGATCTCAGTGGCCTCACCATCACTTTGTGCCTGCCGATGAGGTTGGAAGACTCGCAGAGCAGCTGAACATCGGACACTGTCACGGTGCACGGCTTCTCCCCGACTAGCACGGTGTAGTTCAGCTTCACATTGCCTCCCGCCACGGGTGGGATTAAGTTCTTGCCCTAAGCAGACAGGAAAGCCCCCATTTCCAACCTGAGTCAGGACCTCAGCTGCTGGTGACTTCCATGACTTCCTAACCATTATGCCATCTTATGGATGAACTGCGAAAGAGGCCGTCATCAGTAAGAAGTCCTAAGAATTGGTACATATGTTAGATGTTCTGTGTTAGGAATTTGGTCCCCTATACTGTAAGAGATAATGGGACTTTAAAGATGTGGGACTTAATGGAAGACCATGACTTCCCCACATCTTAAAGGTCCCTCCTGGTTCCAGTGTTACATGTATGTGCTCCTGATAGAAGGTCTTCATGAGAACCGAGACTATTACTGGTCTTCCATTTTTCAGAACAATGAGCGAGTTGGCTGTTTTTTCCTTTATAAGTACCCAGCATCAAGTGTTTTGTGACAACAGCAGATAACAGATTATATATTAAATATCCAGTCTTTCTCCCAGTAAGAAATCAGTAATTGATAATTAAAGTGCTATGAAAACGTATTTGGAATACCTTTAGGATGATGGGGGTGCCAGGCTTGAGCTCCAGGATTCCTGAGGGACTGAAAGCCTCAAACACAGGGTTAGGATAGTAGGTGAAGTTGGTCTTGTTGAGAATTAGCAGAGACTGGACATTGTCTAGGATGAAACCAAATTCTTCAGGCCTCTCAGTGAGATCTGACTGGTGGTCAGGACCCAGGGAAAGGGCTGGAGCCTGGCAGGTCATCTCAGTAGCATTGAGGACCTCACAGATCTGTAGGAGTCAGAGGGGACAATGAGAAATACCTCCTGGGTGCCATTGGTACTACATGGGGTTTTATATGCTACTGGGGAGGAGAGCACCAGGTCACACTGTTGGCTGCTCACAGATCCCACCCTGAAGCTGTTTCCTATCTCTGACGTTGTCCAGAGTGAATATGGCAGTGACTAGGTATTTTCTAAACTGGGTAAAAATGGTAGGGTGAGAACAAAAACCCAGTGAACTGTGGAAGTGATTGGTCTTTCAGGCCTACAGCCCCAAAAGCTAAAAACATGGTCATGCCAACTCCCTTATCCCACCACCCCAGGATGTGGAGATGTCCCATGCCGCCATGAGTCATTGTATGTAGGCAAGGCCCTGCCAAGGGACTCACATTGATGTGTTCTTTCCCTCCATGCTTGGCACGGATCTGGGGGTTCTGTATGAGGTCCAGGTGAGTTCCCCAGACAGCGATAGGTGTGTTCCCACTGCCCAGAAAGAAAGAAAAGAGAGTGTGAACCACAGCCATAGGAGATGCAATGGCCATGACAAAATGGTTATCAGAGTGAGCTATGACAATAAGGATGAGGAAGCAAGTTGTGTCCTTGGAGACAAGAATGAAAAAGTCCCTCAGAAGCCCAGAGAGAAGATAGTGGGTACCAGATACCCATATTGTTCCTTGATGAGTTGTTTATAACACGCCCAGGTTACAACAGGGGCCTTAGTTCACCTAGGCTCCCAGCCTGGAGCCTGCTGTTTCAGCCCTGGAGCCTCCTCTCCTGGTCCTCACCACTTTTGGTCTTGTTCTACAATAATGGTCCCCAGCAGAACCTCCAGTGTCTAAGCACATCTGTTTTCCATGGCAACTGTGCTTGATGTTTCCTCCTTGGTGGCTTCAGTCCACCCAAGACCTATGAAAGCCATGGTCCAAGCCCAGAAACCTCTTCCTGGGTTACCAGTGTGACCTGCTCTGAGACTCGAGTCTCCTGTGCCCTGGAGTGACATAGGACACAGATAAGGTGGATGCAGGTGATTCACCTCAGTGTGGCCTTTCAGAGGATGCTACGCTCTGTGCCCAGCAAAGCTGAGAGGCTGGTGGGGAGGATGGGCAGCCCCGTGTTTGGCTATGTCCTTCTTGGAGTAGAGTGTGGAACGGCTTGCTTGCTAGCCAACTGAGTGTCATTGGCAAACATCCTGCTGTCTAAAGTAGGGCGTCGTAGGTAAACTATTTCTAGGCTTTAGTGGCTAGGATTCTCTGTGCTCACATGGGTTTTGATCCATCTGTCTACTTTCCCATCTTTAAATTCCCATTACTTTCCTCTCCATTGAGTGTGTCTTGCATGCACTCACGAGCTCACATGCACACATATAATTCCGGGTGTGCCTGTGGGATTCCTTCTACACACAGCACAGTCCAGGTGAGTTTCTGTATCTACCCTCCCTGCCCTCAGATTTCCCAACTGCTAATTCTGCGCACAGTAGAAAATGATCCCATCATTGTCTCCAAACAACACTTATAGGAAGCTCAAATCCACACACTGTGCAAAGGCCACCCCATCCCCAGATTTCTTTAACCTAAGCAAAGATGCGGGCAGTCTAGAAAGTGTGTCCAACCTCCCTCGTGGAAGGAGCATGACTTGGGGTACTGGTGAGTGCTTGGAAGATGACACCTTTATTTCTGAGACAACATGAAGGGAAACCGAATTCAATAAGGCCATAAATGTCTCCAAGCATCACTGCCTAGCTTCTTGAGTGAGTCACAAAGGCCTGTGCCACCTCCCTGAATCACCAGGCTCTGAGACCAAGGCCTGACACGGCTCTGAAAGGCTGTTTCCCCTTCATGCCTTAGCTAAGGACAGCCAATGGCCTTTCTCATCCCAGCAGTCAGGGCTGGTTCTCTCTGGTCTTCAAGCAGAGAGTGGCCGACTATTTTTGTGAAGGGCCAGGCAGTAAATATTTCAGACTCCACAGGCCATATGGTCTCTGTCACAGTTACTCAAGTCTGTGCAGTCATGAGAACACAATACAACCAGTGAGTAGAGCCCTGTGCCAATAAAATTTTATTTATAAAAATTCAGGCAACGAGTCAGATATGGCCTTCGGGTCCCTAGTTTAAGTTTAGCCCCCTAGACTAGACTTGCCCCTGCCTCAGCCAGAGCAGAGCACATCTTTATTATGTTTTCACAAACTTCTCCAGTCCTGGGAGCCCTCCTGTCTGGAGCTGACTGTGGGGAGCACTGAGCAAGGGAAAGCTGGACAATAAGATGCTGTGCTGTTAAGGTCATCTGTCAGGTAAGCCACAGGGACTAAGCCCATTCTTTCGGACCCTAAGTGCTCACTGTATTTTTTATACAGCCCAGAACGGTGGCTTCCCAGTGATTTCCAGGGGCCCTCACAGAAAGGACAGCCTCTGTGGGGCTTTCTCATCCTGATAAGTCCTCCAGGCTTGGAAGACTGGACACAGTCAGGTGCCTGCAGCTCCTTCTCCACACTGTTACACCCTAGAGGTCCTGTAGTCTCTCAATACCTAGGAAAATCCTCCAAAGCTAGATACCCAGGATGAGCCAGGGCTTGCCCTGTGTGAGGTACTGAACTGCTGGACTCCCTGCCTGGGTTCTCCCTAGAGCAGGGTCACATGTCCTCTTTCATCTCCTGTGTCATTTTGCTTAGTATATTTGTACTGGGTGCCGGGGAAGCAGCAAGGAATAGGCCTGGTTGAGTCTGTTATTTGAGAGGAACAAAGGCAAGCAGGTAATAGGGCTGGGAAAAGACCTCAGTCTTCCAGGTCACTGGGATCATAGGCTCACGTCAGCATGTTTTGTCTCTTGGGCTCTTGAGAGCCGAGAAAGAGAAACTGAAGCCTAGAGGAGAGGGGGGGAAGCAGAGGGGATGGGTCCTCCTACCTGACAATGCTCCACTCTGGCTCAATACGCACGATGGTGGGATCCTCTACATACTGAAAGACAAGGTCCTGTCGGATCCTGGCCCTGTCCACCTGCACGGTCACCTTCATGTCCAGCACCTCATCGGAAGACGTAGTGTTACAGATAATGTAGGTTGGTGAGCGCCTAGAGGGGAAAGCAGAGCACAGGCCTTCAGGGTAGTGGTAGTCAGTCCCTTCCTAGATGCACCAGGTTTTACAGAAGTACAGGGTAGACACTGTCACAGATAGAAAGCTCACGAACCATGGATGAGGACCAACTTTTTTAAAGGTGCCTCTGAGCCCAGCTTCCAAAGATGCCTGGTCTTTGGACTGTCCTTAACCATAGCCCTCGGCCCAGTTTTAGTAAAGATCTAGCTATGCAAGTCTGCTGAGGTTCCTCCCTTCATGTCTCATCCCGGTTTGCCTGCGGTGACAATCCTCTGAAGAGAGTTTGGGGGAAATCAGCTCCTTGCCACCTCCTCCCGGTAACTCTGAGTCCCGAACCCAGTTTTAACCATACTTGCTGCACTGGGGTTGAGCTCTGCCTCTGTCCTCTTAGGAGACTCAGTCCTATGGCAGCTGCTTTGAGCAAAGTTATCCTAACCACCCTCACGGAGTAATGGCTTCTCGGATAGCAGGAAGGCAAGACTCTGAATCTGTCACAGTTCTTGTCATAATCTACTCTAGGAATACCTACCTGTCCCTGGGAACTTGGGCTTAGATTGGTTACATCTCTCACAGCACTCCTTGGATGGACTCCCTGTGGCCCCCACTCCAGGCTCCTGGTTAGGTAAGGTGTATTCCTTTGGGCTGTAGAGCCCAGATAGGCAGAGGGAGGAAGGCTTCTGGCCCTTGTTGGCTCAGCCTTGACCTTCGGGCATCACCTGCTTAGAGCACACGAGGTGCTCCTAGGCAGCTCCCACATGCTGGTCCCAAGCTGGATGCTCAGTGGTACCCTCGTCCTCTGCAAAGGCTACATCCTAGGACACCAGACTGAACGGTGGACAGCAGTGTGACACCTCCCCCACTTTCCAGGGAAGGTGGGTCTAACCTCCCCTAAAGAGAGGAAGAGTGATGGCTTATGGAGGGCCTTGTAACAGTCAGTCTGGGAAAGGGGAAGTTTCTGTTCATCTCTGGGGGATCCCGCATTTCCCTCCCAGGTGGCTCACCTGTCTGGACCCTCACTGGGCCCAGGAGTTACCTGTGGAAGAGGCATGGCTGGCTCCCAAACATCACCACCACATTGCTGCCTGCATTCAGGTTCGTGCCTGTGATGGTGACCTGTGTGCCCCCAGACATGGGTCCCCGACTGGGCTTCAGGTCTGCAAGAGTCAGGGTCTGCAGAGAAAAACAGAGAACTGAGGCATGCTGGGATAGGTGGAGGAGGCTGGTTCAGGCCTCGGGCAGTGTCCCATGCCCTACTGAAGAGCCACCATCTAGCACTGACTCCTGTGGCCTCTGCGGGCTGTTTTGTATTCTTGTGAGAATAGAGCTTTCATATCCGCATGAATTATAGTGGCCACGAGAGGTGCTGTGTATGGATTTTTGTTTTTCGTGACAGCCTTTATCTCTAGTGATACAGACATATGTATATCTCTAATTATCCAGTCCGTGATTTTTTTTTAAATGGCTACTCTTATCTGTTTCACGGATGGGATTCAGAGGGCTTAGCTAAGTTCTCCAAGGTCACATGGACCAAAACTGCAGGTGAGACCTGACGCCAGCTCTGGTCTCCAATCACTTCTTCGATAGACAGAGAAGAAGACCTGCCATTCCCAAAGGTCTCCCTGGGGAACCCCTCCAGTGACCAGAGAGCCTGGGGCCTGTGAGGACCTTGCAAGGCCTATCAAGCCCCCTGCCCTGACTGGAGGTGAGGAGCCCGCTGGGGTAGGGGTGGGGGAGCAGAGCCCCAGACAGCAGGGGATTTGAAGTTGCAGTTTGTTCTTTCATTAGCATTTTAATGGAAAAACTTTCTCTGGTCCCAGGTGAAAAGCTTGTATCTGCATTTAAATGAAGATTTCTCTTTCTCTTCCCCCAGCCACAGCCCCTAAAAGAACTCTGTGCTGAGGTTGAACCCCCTGGGCTCACAGGCCATGCTTACCCTCTCTCAAGAGGCCTCCTGTCGGGGGCCAGCAAACCCACCCTAGAGAAGGGCACACTGGGGGCATTCACAGGGAGACACTCATTGACCTTGACTCTACGTTCCTTGGCTAGGTTTGAAGTCCTGACTTCGTGATTGATCAGCCAAGGACCAGGGACTATTGGTATCATGCTGTGTGACTCTGGGCAAGATAGTCAGCTCCTCTGGTCACACAATTGGGAACTGAGCCCCAAAGTGGTTGTTATCTTCAGGGCCCATGATGGTTCTCTTGTTCAATAAACTATAGTCATAAGCTATTTCCAAAGTGTGTCTTGTCCCCACTGACGACACCCCCACGCTGAGTCCGTCTGCTGGGGTTCAGTGCCCCCGGGGCTATGGCGAAAGATCCAGAGTCAAACCTGGGAAGGACCAGTGCTTGCCTGGTGGCAGTGGTATTGAGGTGGGGACTGGCTGGAAGAGGTCTGCTCCGGGTGCGAGAGAGTGTTATGGAAACATGTTTTAGACTTGTGAGAAACTATTAATTATTCAAGTCATGCTTCATAAATATTTCACGGTGGGTTTGCACGGGAAATCAAAGTCTGAATTATTTGCCAGCTCTTCACTTGGCTCCACGAACGAACAGACTAGAAGGGAGAGGGAGAAGGAGCATTCCCAGCATGGAGACCTCCTGGGACAGAGCGGGTGGCAGGCCAGGCGCCTGATCTGGGCTCTGACATTCATGTGACTAACCCACACATCAGAGCCTGGGTTGATTTGTGGGAAGAAATGGAAGGAAACCCAAGTTTGTTCCTGAAGCAGGAGAGTGGAGCAGAGGGTAAGACCTGGGACATGCAAGACTGCAAAATTAGTAAGGGAGAAAAACCTGTTAGCAAAGAGGAAGGCTGGGAACACCACCAGCAACTGGGGGGGGGGGGGACTCAGACTGTGGAGTCCCCAGTACAGGCACAGGGCACCAGTGTCTGTAGGTGATCCGTGCACTATTATAATACTAACACCCCCTCCTCCATTTGTGGAGACTTGAGCCCCTGAGTTACATGAAACTGGGAGGAGAATTCAAAGTAACAGAGCAGGTGTGAGAAAGCCCAAATGACCCCCAAAGCCTGTGAAATGAGTCATAAAAGTCACACAGTGGGCTCTGGGCTCAGCTTGTAAACTTTCGCCCTGCCTCAGACAGCTTCCGCCCTTGAAAATGTATCATTTTCTAATCACCTACTTCTGCCGCTATCCACGTCTGTCCAACTCTTGGTTCCAGGATCTAAGGGTCTGGAAATCACTCTGGATGGACACCAAGAAAGGGCCCCCAGAGCTTTAGAAACCCCCAGAGGAGTCTGGGGAAAGCTATCCCAGAACTCCATGGGAGAGGTGTCTTCTCCCCACAAACCTCTTAGCCGAGAGGAAGGCAATGAGGACTCCAGGCTACTCTGACGCATGATCAGGTGAGTCTGTTGTTTCCCTTGACCCTGTGCAACTCTTGGTAACCTCTGCTTTTCATTTCCACTGGGAAATATCTAGCCTCCAAGATTCCACCCCTAAGTGAACACGGGGCAGAGGAAGGGGCTGAGGTCCCCAGCATTCCTCCTCCCTGAATTTCTACCCTAGAGGATATGTGGCACCAGGCCATTTCCTTAGAAGAACCCTTCAACTAGGAAAGTGACAAAGGTCATTGAGCAAAGGACCAGGGCACTTGCCTTGTAGCAATTACTTTCATCATTTCTCATGGCCTCTTTACTCCTACTGCCTCCCCTCCTCGTTCCCCTCTCCACTCCTGTCTTTGGGTGTGAGTCCATGGGTCAGTTTTATGCTAGGGAAAACACTGGCCAGGCAAGTTCTTCATGGAAGTCAGAGGCCCACTTGGACACACACTGCCTGCCCACTGCCCACTGCCTGAATACCCACACTTAAATACACCTTATTCCATGGTAGACACTATCCTGCAGGCCTACCTGGGTTTTCCTGAGTGGGAGGGGGAAAAAAACATGCCAGCTGATAAACACTCATCAGAAAGAAAGAAGAAGAAGCAGAAGGGAGGAAAGAGGGATGGAGGGATAAAGGAGGAAGACTTTCTAATGTCAGCCACATGGGATCTCTGAAGATCTAAAGTGGAAAATGGAAGGATCGAGGCCAGGAGATTTCTCCCCCTTCCCCAGAGTTGTGAGCCAGGCAGCTTTGCTTTGCAAGCCTGGACTGTTCAGGAGGGACTTGAGTAACTTGAATGGTTGGGGTGAGGCCTGGGTGAGGTTATGGGAAGGAGATTGGGGAATGGTGGGACGGGAGGTGGGGTCAGGATGTGACGGGGGAAATAGAGGAGGCCTATAGGTGGGATTAGGTCCAGGACAAGCAAAAAGGAGATAAAGAAGGTCCTGAGATGTCAGTGGATGGGTGGGAAAAGAATACAGGCTGCTCATGATAGCATAAGGTCTAAAAGGGGGTAGGGGCAGATAGCGGGGCATAGTGGTGAGCGTGGTTAACATAGAAAATAGCACCACATGAGATGGAGACTATACGATTATCACCATACCATGAACGACACACAAATATCATTTTCATTTTACAAATGAAGGAACTGAGGCACAGAAAAGTTAGCCAGCTTGTCTGAGTTTTCCCACTTAGGAAGCAGCTGAGTCTGGGCACAATTCCTGGGAATCAGCCTGCTGCTTGGCCACACAGGAGACACTGGGACCCAAGGGGAACTTCCTGGAGTTATACAAGGAGGCAGGGAATTTGGATCTAGGTCTCTGGGGCACCAGGCTATGCTCCTACTCTGTTCATGGGGGGGTCTCCTGAACACAGATGATAGGTGGAGGCCCCAGTCTGCATTGGCAGCCATAAGATTTGCTGCAGTCTCTGCACCCAGGCAGGCCAGTGGCATCCAGGACTCACCATGAAATAATAGAGCTGGGAGGAGCGGGCCATGAACTCAGGTCGGCACACAGCCACACAGATCTCCACGAAGCCTGCATGCTGGCTGGGTTTGGCCTCTCCCATCTCACACACGATCCTATAGGAACAAAGGGGAGACTGGGTAAGCCTCAGGACTCCCAACCATGGCCTAGGCCCACAGCGAGCCCAGAGAGGTTAGCCGATCGGCGTGAGTTCATCAAGTGATCCAGAACTTGAATCTGACCTTAGGCTCTCAAGTCTCTTCTTGGGAGTTCCTGCTCCCAGCATCTGGGATGCCTCAGTGATGTAAGTCTGCTCCCAGCTGTCCCAAGTTTTATGCCAGGAGAGGAGATGCTTCAATGTGTATATATTGGTATGGTTACTAGTGCAGATGTGTGTGTGTGTGTGTGTTCTCCATCTCACAAATGAAGAAACTGAGACACAGAAGAGTTAGGCAGTTTGCCTACATATTTGTATGTTTAACATCATGGTATCAAAACTATGGACTCAACCAACCATAGGTCAAAAATACTACAAAATAGATCATTATCTGTATTGTCTAAGTTCAACTCCTTTTTTTCTTTTTAAAAATGATGCATTTATTTTTATCTTATATGCCTGACTTTATGCATATATATATATGTGTGTGTGTGTGTGTGTGTGTGTGTGTGTGTGTGTGTGTGTACCACATGCATGTCTGGCTCCCATGGAGGTAAGAAAAGGGCATGAGATCTCCTAGAACTGCAGTTAAAGATGATTTTAAGTTTCCAGGTCAGTGCTGGGAACCGAGTTAGGTTCTCTGCAAGAGCAGCCAGTGATCCTAACCACTGAGTCATCTCTTCAGTGCCCAGACTTATTTTTTTCTTATGAGTCCCTGGACAATGCAATAGAATGTCCATTCATCTAATATTTCTGTTGAATTGGGTATAAGTAATGGAGAGAGGTTTAAAGTATGCACTAGGATGCTCGCAGGTAGTCTGCAAGGACTCTACTATTTTACAGAAGTCACCTGAGCATTATGAATTTGGGTATCTTCAGAAGGTCTTAGACAAATCCCCTTTGGGTACTAAGAAGATACCATTTACATACAAGAACATATACTTAGACATGTACACATATTCTATATGCATGTACAAAACATGAATGTTAAGACACACATTTATGATTATGTACAACTTTGTATATTTATATGCATAAACACATATTTTAAAAGATACACATAAAATGTAGCATAAGCGCTGCTCTAAATACCAGTTTGTATTTAGCAACATTTCATGTGTTTTCATCGAGCCTCTACATGCATCTACTTTATTCTTCCTAACAGCTTTGTAATATTATATGCTTGTTTAAACCACCATTTTAATAATATTCTTCTTATAATCTTGATGGGCATGTAAATATTTTGATCTTTCTCCTGCTTCAAAAAACAATAAACAAATAAAACAGCCAAATAGGCAACATACAAATGCTTAAAAATTATCATGTGTTTATTAGAACAGACTCCGCAGGAGGGAATGCACTGACTAAACAGTTTATTTAACATTAATAGGGCCCAATAATGTTTCCTAAAAACTGTACCAATCTGCATTTGTATCAGTGGTCCACTACTCTAGCTAAGACTATATAGTCACAATCCTTTGAAAGTTTTTCCAGTGTACGACAGAAAAGATCATGTTAAGTCCAGTGGTTAATACAGAGGATGCATGTGCTCATGTGTCTTCTTTTTTATATAATGTCTCTATTAGAGACCTCTCTATATTATGCTGACCAATTGTCTTTCTGTGAAACCTTCTTGACTAGGCATATTTTTATTTGTGGTAAATACTGGAATTATTTTCTTCTTGATTGTCCACTTGCTACCTGCCCTTTAACTTGGTTTTCAGAATATTCTGCCACGCTAGCTTGCGAAAGCATCTATGTGGGTAAATATGCCAATTTTTACTTTTCCATTTCTACCTTTTGAGTCCCGTGGAGTTTGTTTGTTTAGTTGGTTTTGGTGCAGTTTTATCTTTCACGGTGCTGGGGAGCAAACGCAGGGCGTGGCAAATGCCACATGAGCACTCTGTCACCAAACCACACCCCTAACCCTGTAGTTTCTGTGTCTTGTGTTTCTTAAAAAGAAGTACCAAGGAAAGGTCTGTCTGTGTGTGTGTGTGTTCTGTATAGACAGCATAATAAACACTTGTTTAGTGTGGGGGGAAAGACACATGGACTCTGGCTTTTCTTCCACAAAATTAATTCAAAGCTGTATTCTGTTTGGTCACCTGTGTATGTGCACATATGATACCTTGACTAGGTGCCGGTCTGTGATTCACTTTAACTTATAAGCTCCAGCTTTATAATAGTATGAAAGTGATTTATAAGTCTGTCAACTCTTGTCTACAATTTCATACTTTGAATTTTGATCTTTTCTTGAGCTAGCCACATATTCTATGATGTTCTCTGTGATGCTGGCCGGTGGCAGAAAGCTTCAGGGCCCTGTGTGCCAGGGACCACAAGAAGAAACAACACTGGTAGCTGGTTAGGAATATATTAACAGTTTCAGCTTATGCTGTTTTCAGCTTATGAAGGGTTGGTTTATCAAGACACAGTGCCAAGGGCTGGGAATGCATCTCGGGGACATAATCCTTGCCTGGCAGTGCACATGGTCCTGGATTCAGTCCCTACCATGTCCAAAAGAGATGTAAGGTTGAGAGACATCCATACAATCACTTTTTGAACTGATAAATCCCCTACTTTTAAGATATATCATTGCTTCGGAATTGTTTCTATTATAAATAAAACCGAGATAAGCATTGTTAAATATTTTTTGCTAGTCTGGTTATTTAGGGAATGTTCTAGAAGCATATTAGATAGACTTAAAGACTATGGGGGGGGGTGGTACTGAGGATTGAACCTGAGGTCAAGTGTTCTACCACGGAGCTACATCTCAGTTTCATTTCTCTTTTTCTTTTTCTTTCTTGATTTTGAGACAGAGTCTCACTTAGCTGCCCAGGCTAGCCCTAAACTCACTCACTCTAGCCCAGGCAGGACTCGACTATGAGCTGCTCCTGCCTCAGCCTCCCATGTAGCTGGAATTGCAGAACTGTACATAAAGTGCCAGCTAAGACTTCTGGTTTTTGTTGCTGTTGGTTCTTTTGGGAGAGCACATGACATGATTGTATGCATATGGTCTATGTGTGTGATGCATGCATGTGAGTGGGTGGGTGGGTATGCACACACAGCCATAGCAGGGCAGTAGGTGGGGGTTTCACACCACTATCCTCCCCTTACTGCCTGGACAGCATCCATCCCTGAACCAGAAGCTTACCCCCTCAGTTAGGTGAGCTCCCAGGAGCTGCCTGTCTGTCCCTCAGTGCTGGTGTTACAGGCACATGCAGCCATATGGAGCTTCCAGCTAAGACTTTTTTAATCTGCGCGTCCAAATGCCTTCCTGAAAGTTGGTCCCAGATTCCCTCCCACCACAAGTAAATGAACCAATTGCACCTGGTGCTTGTTTTTATTTTTGTTTTTATTGAGATAGCATCTCGTGTAGTCCAGGCTAACCTCAAACTCACTATGCAGTTGAGGATGCCTGACCTTGAACTTCTGATCTTTCTGTCTTTACCCATCTAGTCCTGGGACTACACCTGGTGTCTGCCTCACTGGGGATTGAACTCAGCTAGACAAGCGCCCTACCCACTGAGCTCCATCTCTGGCCTCTGGAGCTCTAACCTTTGAAAAGTGTTCTCCATTGCCGACATTTGCAATTTCATTTCTCATATGAGTTTTTGGTTCTTTGTGCATCACGTGAATTATACATTCATGGCTCTTTGCTCATTTTGTGATAACTGCCTTTTATTTATAAAGCCTCTTTATCTGTTAAGAAAAAGGTGTCTATTAATGGTGATGGGTATAACCATATTCCCAGCTCTTCGTTCACCTTTATTTTCTCACACTGATTTCTGATGTATACGTTTTTGAGTTTTATATACTCAAAACCCCTAATCTTTTCTTTATGTTTCATTTTCCAGCTCATGCTCAAAACATCTTCCCCTTCATGAAATCAAATGAGTTTGCACCTGCATTTCCTTCTAATCTCTCAGCTTCATTTCTGTGCCCCTAACTCTTTAATCTACCTGGAATTTATTCGGGTGTGTAATGTGAACTAAGGATCCGATCTTCTTCTTCTCCCGGCTTTACCCAGCACCATTTGCTGAGGGATCTTTGCTTTCCGTGTTGATTTGAACTGTCACCCTCATCACACACTGAATTCTCGCGTGTCAGGATGCTTGCCCCGAGCATTCTCTATCACTCCGTGGATCTAACTGATACTGCGGGGTTTTCATCATCGGGCTTTACAATAATACTGCTGACGCCTGCTCTGTGGCCGGGGCTGTAAGCTCCCCCACATTGTGCCCTATCAGCATATAAAGCTGGCTCTGCTGTGATTTCAGAAAATTCTCACAGAAGTGTAGGTGCCACGGATAGATGTTTGGGTCACTAAGCGATGGTCGATGAGGGGGCTGATTCCAAGTCACTGTGGACTCTTCTGTTCTACAGATGTTGTGGGATCGCCGTAATGGAAGTCAGGAGGAATTGGCACATGCACCATCTCTGTGGTTCTGAATCCTCCGGTCCAGCAAGCAGACATGCAGGGCACTGCCAGGCCTAAGGGAGACGCTGTCAGCAGCCCCCGTGGAATGTTCACAGGACAACTGATAATGTTATAGTCTGGGTGGCACAGGATGGAATACAGATTCCACTACGCTGGCCATCATTCCATAGCTCTGTTTGCTGGGCTGGGAAGGGGTGTTTGCTTATTGACCAGACAATGCACGGCTCACTGGATATCCTCCACTAGGTGGGTTAAGGGTCAAGGTCATCTGTTGAATGACCCTTTTGCGCAGGGTTTGCAAAGAGAAAATTTAGCCAAGGAACTCACAGGCCTGAGAATAAGTTTGAGATTTCATTTTCAGCCTCCGCGTAGGATAGCCCAGGGCTAGCTTACCTGTGGGGAAGCTCATGGGGAGTTAGAGACAATAGAGGGAATTGAATTCACACTCCCTGGAAGACTTTAATTTTGCTCTTTCTCACCTCTTTCTCTCTGTACCCTGCCCCCAGTAGTCAGCAGTGGTTTTACTTGCCCCCCCCCCAGTTACTTCCCATCCTTGTCTCTAGCTCCCTAGTACAGCACCTCAGAAGTACACAAGGCAAAGAGCTGAGGGTTACCTGTAGTCACCCTAAAATGTTAGTTGTATCCTAAGCCCTCCCCTCCAACCTGGCTCAGAGTTTGCCATTAATCAATCAGTTCTTACTCTGCAAGTCCCAAATCTGAGCCATTTGAGCCTTCATATGGCACCACCAATGGGAAATCTTATACCAAGAAACTTTATTTGGTGATTATTTAAAGGGGGCCCATCACTGGGATGATCTATATAAAGTCATCTTTGGGCTATGTGTATAAGGTGTATATGAGACACAAATGAATTTTGTTAGACTTAGGGCCCATCCCCAGGATATCTCATTATGTCTATTCAAACATTCTAAAGTCTGAAGAAAAAAAAAATCCCCAATCCAAAACACTTCTGGTCCCAAGTATTGTGATCATCTCAAGCCTGTGATACCACATCCCCCCTTCCCCTTTGGTTGCCTCCACATCCCAGGAGGCTTTCACTTACTGTTCTGCAGGGATGTAGCCATCCACCAAGGGAGTGCATTCCACACCAGCCACCTTGACATGGGAAGCAATGTCCCGGAATTCCAAGCCCAGGTTCTCCCCTCGGATGGTGACCTTGGTGCCCCCTTCCCGAGGGCCCGTCACTGGGATGATCTGCAGAGAAGAGAGAGGTGATCCTTCAGGCCCCAAGAAGCACCACTGCCTTCTTGCTACAGAGGGGACATGGCCCTTTATGCTTCTGTGCATACTTCTTCAGCAGGTGCAGAAGGCATGTGGATGTCAATGGGTGCTATCCTTGGGTAAAGAGGTCTGTGTTTCTCTGTGGCGCTCAAGCCCCTGGTCTATCTTCCTATCTCACAGAAGAAGAGAATATGACTGCAGAGAAAATCAGGATGGACTTCTGGCATCCAATACAACCCTCTTATCTGCCAAGAACCACTTGTACCTAGGACCATCGCATCCACTCCCCACACCAAATGTCTAGTCTGCATAATCACAGGTTGCTTCTCTTCACTGAAAGTCCAAGGCACCTGCCATACTCCTTCTGTGACAATCGCTATTCAGGTTGAGTTCCCCATTCTCCCACCCAGCCCCCTTTGACCTTAAGTCTCCAAGAGCCAGAGTTGTCTCCAGTTGCCCCTGCCCGCCTTTCTTGTCAGTGGCAGCATCTCTCTTCAGAGCATTTGGCAATACCATTTATTTACCTTCCTTGTTGGCTTGGTTGCCATGGTAGAGGTTTGAATTCAGACTTTACACTGGTCAGAGTGACTGTCCTTTCCTCCAGAGATGTCACCGTGGATGTTAACGCTCATAATTAGAAGGCAGGGAGCTGTCAACTAGGACCTGGCTTACTTTGTGGTACGGACTGTGGACATCTAATTGTTACTTCCCACAGTAAGGCCTTTTTCCGTTCCTGGTTCTCAGAGCACTACACCTGAAGTGAGGTCCCCGAGGGAGAATCTGAGTGGCAAGTCTCTAGTTTTTTCTAGAATGTTCCACTACCCCATTCTGAAAGGGTTACACATGGGGCACTTTCCTGGATGGCTGGTAAAGTTGGAAGAACCAAAGGCACTAGACTGGGCTCCCCTAGTGGCAGTTTTTCTAGGGGGAGACTGTTCATTAACCAAAGAGCAGCAACTTCCTTCCTCTTACATATCTCTTTATGGAGACAGCATGCTTATGGTGTGAGAGTTTTTATGAACACGTTGCCATCACAGTAGAAAACAGTTTCAGTGCAGAAATGGACCCATTTTTGCTCAGGTGAGGTGGTCAGATGTGTGGAAGGCAGGGGGAGAGTGCTTAGGTTCTCCCCCAATGCTCGCCCAGATGGCGAGTCCCCAGTGCATCCCTAACACTTGGTGGGGGTGCCAGCACGAAGTTCCAGCCCTGGCTTGCCATCCTGTAAGAGGGGTTATCTTTGGACTGGTCCATGGTCCCCTGGAGGGGTGGTGCCAGGTTGGAGGCAGTGAATCGCCCCTACCCAAGGGAGATTATTTAATTTGTCACCTTTCCTATGATTTTCTTGGAACCAGGCCAAGGAGAAAGCAAATATAGCTGATAGGTTTCAGTGCATTGTGAGCCGCCATGTGCCACAGCCCCAGGGATGGGTAGCTGGTAGCAGCATGAGGGCAGTGGCTCCACAGAGGAGGTTCAGGGTTGGGAAAGGGCTGGAAGAGAGAGGTAGGGATGTGAGATAGTGAGTTGGAGGGCATTTGTCTGCCCCCTGCCCAGTTCTCCAGCCTGGAAGTCACCATAGACAACGGAGTGAACTTGGGGGCTCAGGGAAGTCCCAGTTTTGAGATTACCATCGCCAGGAATGCCGAAGATGAACGGTCTCAGGTGAGGGATGCATTTGGAAGGCCACCCTGAGGTAGCTGAGGGGGTTCTATCATAGTAGTCAATACCGTTTCTGCTCAGACCCATCCCAGTGGCACAGTTTGTAAGGCGTGCATGTCCCTTCTCTGTGTAAAGGAGAACATGAATCTGGGAATCAGGATTTGGGAGGCACACTGCTTTCTTTATACTCTAGCTACTGTGGCTCTGACACTACTCTTCTCTGGTAGAGGAAGAAAATAACCTTGGCCTTCACAGGTGTGAAGGGTTGAACTGTGCTCACCACCCCACCCCTGCCACTTCATAGGTGGAGGTCCTAACTATGCTCCTTCCTCCATTCATAGGGGGAGGTCCTAACTATGCTCCTTCCTCCATTCATAGGGGGAGGTCCTAACTATGATCCTCCCTCCATTCATAGGGGGAGGTCCTAACTATGATCCTCCCTCCATTCATAGGGGGAGGTCCTAACTATGATCCTCCCTCCATTCATAGGGGGAGGTCCTAACTATGCTCCTTCCTCCATTCATAGGTGGAGGTCCTAACTATGCTCCTTCCTCCATTCATAGGGGGAGGTCCTAACTATGATCCTCCCTCCATTCATAGGGGGAGGTCCTAACTATGCTCCTCCCTCCATTCATAGGGGGAGGTCCTAACTATGCTCCTCCCTCCATTCATAGGGAAAGGTCCTAACTATGCTCCTCCCTCCATTCATAGGGGGAGGTCCTAACTATGCTCCTTCCTCCATTCATAGGGGGAGATCCTAACTATGATCCTCCCTCCATTCATAGGTGGAGGTTCTAATTAATCTTATGACTTAGTTGCTTTTCTTGTTACCTGAGAGAAGCAACTTACAGGGGAAAATGATCCATTCTGGCTGATGGTTACAGAGGTTATATCTATTATGGTGGGGAAGGCATTGCAGAGGACTTGATCTCTGGTAACAGGAGCATGTGGCAGCTGCTTATGGCACGGTATTGTCCATGAAGCAGAGAATTCAGAAGGAAGCTGGGCTCTAAATCTCAATGTGTATCCTCTAGGGACCCATGTCCCCCAGCTTGGTTCCACTTCCTAAAAGGTTTACATTCTCCTAAAACATAACCACCACCTGGGGACCAAGTGTCCAAACACAGGAGCCTGTAAAAGACATTTCATATTCAAACCACAGTATCCTAGTACCTCAGAATGTAACTTTAGGCAGCAATAAGTCTTTACAGAGACCATTAAGCATAAAGGAGGTCATTAGTATAGGCTTTAACCCTTGTGATCATTGTGCTATTGAGAGAGAGAGAGAGAGAGAGAGAGAGAGAGAGAGAGAGAGAACCAGAACACACGGAGATGTGCATAGAGGGAGACATGAAGGGGGCACAGTTGACATCTAACCTCCTTTGAAAGCAACCAATCCTGCCAATGTCCTGATCTTGAACTCCTACCTCCAGGATAGTGATACTTTAAGCTACGTGGTTTGTGATGCTTGATTACAAAACCCCAGGAGCCCAATATAACAGGGCTTATGTGCCTACTAACCAGGGATGTGAAGGGACTATGCAGACTCCAAAGCATTTCACATATCCACAGTCTAGGACCATGGTCACCATTGCTCAACATGGAATGGAAACATTAGCAAAACTGAGCAAAGCTGGGTGTGTCCTCCTGATTGACAGATGCATATACAGCTGCTTACTTCCTCCTCTTTCCCCTCTTCTCCATCAACCTCATTTTCATAATGAGCATCCTCCAAATCCAAGAGATAGTAAGCACCTACTGTGTGCTAAGCCCTGTTCCTGGGGTGATGGGAGGATTATATTAGATGGGATCCTAATGTTGGGGAACAGACAACAGGAGACTTGCATTTCTCTTTCATTTTAAGAAGAGAGCAAGGATCTGAAGCCTGGTGGAAGAATACCTTAGGTAAGCCACCTCACCCCAGTCAGAAGTATAGAATGGGCAGGAGACAGAACTGCCCATATAAATCTCAGGGGCAGTAATTCCCTGATGCATTTTAATGGTGATGAGTAAGAAGGATAGAAAGTTCTCTGAACCAAGCCTAAGCGTCCATAGAATCTATAAAGGAAAATGAAAAACGCCCAGCCAGTCAGAGCACCCAAGTCTACCTGGTGACCACAAGGGTTGATCAATCCCATATAGCCAGGCATTGTCTTTAAAGCCCTGGTCCCTAGCAGGCTACAGAGTGGCTTGGCAGCCTGGAGTGAGCTACAGGCCTGGCAGCGGCTTACCTCTGTGATCCGAGGGTTGGTGCATTTGCTGTTGGCTCCCGACAGTTCCAGCCACCGGCTCTCATGGGCAGGGCAGTGTTGGCGCAGGGTGCACTGGCCTGGGCTCTGGCACCAGCCACACTCAAAATCTGGGTCAGCTTTGAGGCACAGCCCACAGCTCTCACGCATGGCCCCGCACTTGTATAGGTAAACTGTGGAAGACAGGGACAAGAGGCACTTTGGGATGAGGACGGACTGAGAATGGCTACAGGGGAAACTGTGGGTCCCCATTTGGTCTCAGCTATCCTTCCATCAAACTCCTGTCCCTCTGTCCCACCCCTGGGAGCCACCACAGTGCAGAACCTGGGTCCAGAATGGCAGGGAAACGTGGATGGACAAGAGCTAGGTTTGTGAAGGAAAGACTCAAAGCCCAAGGGAGATTGATGGGTGCTGGGAGGTGGGGATGAGATGATGACCCAAGAAGGCCACGCTGCTCTGCTTTCTTCTTCTCTCCCCTGCCCCACTCCCACTCCTCATGCCTTTTCTACCGGCCTTAGCCTCTTCACACCTTTATTCTGAGCCGGGTTGTCAATGTTGAAGTGCCCATTCCACACGACTGTCAGCTCCACAGGCAGGTTGTTGATCTCCATCCCTTCATAGGAATACTGCAACCAGATTGGGGGTGGGGGTGTGGAAAGAGCAAAAAAAAATGTTACAGAGATCTCTATGGAGACCCGAGTGCTTAGCCCGGGGCCCCATAGAGCACACAGGGTTCAGGACTAGCCATGGCTGTGCATATGTGTATTTTCTTGAATACAGACGCATGTACATGGTCAGATGGAGATGATGAAGGCAGGGAAGAGGATGCTGACTCAGAGATGCCAGGCACAGCATGAAGGCTCTGTGTGTGGCAGCCCCTGCTTTGCTTCCCACTGCAGTTACTGGTCAGTGAAGAGAAGGGCAGTGAGCAGAGGAAACCCAGCTTGCCACGGGCATCAGTGTTAAAAGTACCTGGTGCTATTATTATTATTATTATTATCATCATCATCATCATCATACCAGCAGACTTTCCTGTCACAGCGGGTAGGACAAAGGACTGGAGCTGTGACATACTTTTCTGTACAGGAAGGGCTAAGGACTGGCATTTTGTTGGTTAGAAGTTAGGCTTGCAAATCCAATGGGCTCTCTCAGCCCAGAGTCAAGGGTTGGAGGGTCTGAACTTCTATGGCTGTGGGTGGATCTCAAGGGAGATGGTAGAAAGTGTCCCTTCTCCAAGATGGCTGTAGCACTTCCAGTGATCAGGAGGGGAAATCAGCCACACACACTGGACGTCCCGGCCTGGCGAGAATTTCTGGGGCTGGAATCCAAGCCTCTGTCACTGGGCAAGAGTAGATCTGTTGTTTGTTGTAGCAGCTTCTAAAGCCTAGAGAATTACCCCATGCCTTGAGTTACAGAATAAACTACACGGTGAGTGTGCTGGGGGTTCTTTAACAAGCAGTGTGTGCCGTCAGGCCTCTTCAGGTTTAATCCTAACATTCAAACATTTTAACTTCCCTCTTCCGAGCAGCAAAAACCCAGCTCAGCCAAAAACAGTTGGCATTCCCCTGAACATGGAGACGCTCCCAGCACACTGTTGACCCTCTCACTCAGCAGTTCTGTGACTGACACCTGCTGGGTACGGAGGAGAAAGCAAAGGCCCCTTGCCCCGAGGAAATGACAGCAGAGGCTTTGGTTCAGTATGGCTGTGACCCCCAAATCTGAGAAATATATTGAAGAGCCCCCATTAGTTACCTGAAACCTCAGAGACCATCTAACTCTATGCTGTTTTTATTTTGCACATGCACACCAATGATGTAGGCATAATTAAGGCACAGTAAAAATAAAAAATAAATAAAATACAATAAAAAAGTAGAACAATTACAACACACTGTAAAGTCACACGCATATTCTCCCTTTTCTCCTCTCTATCAAACTGGTAACTTCGTATCTGTTAACATGATAACCAAAAGCTTGTATAGTGGCCTATATGCCTTTAACCCAGCCAGAAGTAGGAGGATCTCTGTAAACTTGAGGCCAGCCTGGTATACACAGTGGGTTTCAGGCCAGCCAAGGTTACCTTGTCTCAATAAGCTAACAAAACCAACACGATAACCAAGTTGTTTACTAAGTAATCAACAGTCTGGTAGCATATATGGGATAGATACAGGAGACAAAGGCTTGGCTCATTTCTGCGATGCAGGAAAAAAGGGGGAGGAGTCAATTCCATTTTAAAACTATTTCTGGGATTTTTCCATTTAATGATTTTTGGTTGTGGCTGACAATGGGTTACGATGAAAAGTAAAATTATAGGCAGGGGAAGGCAACTACCCAGGGACTGAGCTATGTGTTAGTCAGGCTGGGTTTTGTTTAGCAGTTTCTCCTGAGATTGGAACATTGCTTTCTGCAGGGAAGCTGTTTAATCAGGTAGGTAATCAACTCAAAACAGCATCAGGAAGTACCCTAAAGTAACAAGATTCATTTGGCCCCTCCCTCTCAGAGTAAGCAATAAAGTTGCAAAGAAGATTCTCAGACTAGACAAACTGCAAAGACTCCAAGGCCACAGCAGTTGCCTGGAAGAATCAGAGACTGACAGACCTGCCTGACAGAGATCAAGACCAACCTTATACATCTGGAAAAGACACTTTCCAACATGTTGAGCTAACTGCAGGCTGTGCAGTGGGCTCCAGGTTTCCAGCTTTGTGAGCTGTCACCCAGGAGTGAGCTTTGGTAATCCAGCTGCCTTTGAGTCATTTCTGCTCCTGGGAGTAACCCCTCACCCATACTCCTGTAAGTAACACCAATAAATCGCATGGATTCACCAAATTGGACTTCAGTGGTATCCATATATTGGTCTGTCATGGGGTCCCTGTTTGGGATAAGGAGACATGTATGTTGCTATCTCTCCAGGAAATTTTTTCACACAGCACAGGGTCACCCCACATTATGTCACTCCAGCCCCTGGGAGTGGACATTAGAACGAGGAGTGAGATGCAAAACCTAGGACCCTACCCCAGAAATGGCTAATTCCACTATCTGGAGATGGACGTGTTTGGAAAGAGTTTTCCTGTGGCTCTTGTAATGACCACGAATTAAGAATCCTGCCAGAAGTCGGAAGTCAGGGGCTGCCCAGAAGAGGGAGCATTCTGTAAAGGAAGGTGCCCTCCTTCATGTGAAAGAGAGCAGTGGGGCTCTGGCTGACCTCTTTCCTGGTCCCCTTCTTCTTCTTTGCAGGTCGATAGACCCCAGTGAGTGAGGTGACTAAACGTGGCCATCTGATCTGGTCTACCAACTGAACACCTGGCAGCAATGGCCATCCGGAGACTTGGATTTGGAAGGGTGCTGGTGTGGCTACGTCAGGCTTGAAGCCCAGCTTCTATCCTTCAAGGCCATGCTAGCCAGGACCCAGTGTGGGAACAGCACATGTTGACTAGAATGGAGTTCGCCTGATGTCGATGAAGTCTTCAGGCCCCTTTCCAGATGGTTCTGAAATGGCCCAGGAAGGAAGACAAGAAATTCTTACTATACATGTGTGTGATTGTCTCTGTGTGCAAACATGATTACATGTTCTCTCTCTCTCTCTCACACACACACACACACACACACACACACACACACTCCCAGAGTGGCACATGAGTATGAGCAAATGACCCAAGTTTTGGGTCTCTCATTTGGAAAGTGAGAATTAAGAAACAATCCACACCTTTGATGATTACCACGTGGCCTGAAGATAATACACACAGCTCTGAGCACAGCGTCTGTCACCTGCTCTAAGCCCCAAAAGAGTATTGTGTGTTTTAATCTGCGTGTATACACCTGGGAATGGAACTCTATTTGTGCTGCCTGTGTTTATGTTTATGGCGAATAATAATAGCAGCCATGAACTGAGTGTTTGCATGCCAGACACTTGGTACATATGGAGCTGTATGCACTTGAGGATGCTCATGTGTTCTGGTGTGTACACACGTCTATGTGCGTTTTCCTTTTGAAGAAAATTAAAAGACAAGAGGCTATGGGGGATCACATATGCTGGGCAGTGCTTTTCCTTTCTCTCTCCTATTTTCTGAGGTTGCAACTGGGAAATACTGCAGACATCATTAACCCAGGTCCCCCCACCAGCCCTGAGCCTCTAGGGAGGTCACCATGTTCTGGATGTCTGCCCTCTCTAGATGACCTGCATCTATATGGGGCACATAGGGCACAGTAGGAGCTCTCAGTGTGTCCCGAAGCTGGGCAGCTTGGACTTCGGGTTCCCATCCCCGACTTCCCTCACTCTGCCCCACTTAGCATTTATATAGTTCTCTGTAATCAGCAGGCAGTTTGTCTGTGCAAAGTTCAGGGCTGCACAGGACACAGAATGCAGGGACCAGAGGTTACAGGCTCCAGAAGGTCAGGAGGTTAAGTGTCTCAATCAAGGCTGGCATACTGCGATCCCTCTAGTCGATGACTTCTCCATCACCTTGGAGGTGCATGACCCCCAGCTTCCTCTCCTTGTAAGGCAGAGAAGACCTCTGCATGGAGTTATTCCTGCCTCTGAGCACTCCCTTGTCCTGAGTGCTACAAGATGCTTCCAGAGAGTTCTGCTATTTGAATGAATAAGCCAGAAAACCACAAGAGCACACCAGGAGTTGGTTGGGGCGCTGTGTCTATTTCCAGGGCTCTGGCCGGCTTCATGGCCTCTTTCCCTCTTCGACCAGCACTGCAGTGGGCCGGTGCCCTTTGCAGCCCACTCATGCTCGTGACCGCCAGCCTGAGAGGAGGTGGCAGGCTCTATTATTAGCAGCACTTGACATTTTCCTGGAGCCTTGGTCTAAAGTAGGCCAAGCATCCCCACAGTGGCTCCCTCAGTGGCTGCCTGTAACCCGCCCCCCTGCTCCTCCCACTGTCCCCAGGAGCTATAGCCACTGGCACTAGGCCTGTCTCTAAATAGTGGGTCTGGAAGTGATCCCATCTGCATATTGAGGCCAAAGGCATGCCCACTCGAGCAGACTTGCTTTTCAGGGTTCCCCTCTTTCTCTGCTCTTCTCTGATACCTTTGTCACTGATCTGCCAACTAGACTCACTCCCTTTCCCCATCCCAGGTTACTTAAGAGATCACGACAAACAATCCCTTCTACACATTGCCCGGAAGTTGCCCATCACAGGTGCTTTCAGGGACAGCACAAAGCTTGGAATATAATAGTTCCATGGCTGGGGTTTGCTCAACTTTTCGGTTTCAGAGTCACCTCTGTTAACAGAATCCAGAAGATTAATCGGATTCCCCTCTGTTAATCAGAAGCCAGCTGTGCTTCTGTGACTCTGGGAGTAGGGTTTGCCCAGATTAAGGAGGTTACTTGGCATCCTGGCTGAGATCCACATTACCCTGGGATCTACCTGAGACTGCCTCTCAGTCTTCCCAAAATAGGGGCTCCTAGAGAAAGTCAGGCTGAGCCCTCCTGAAGGGTGCGGCCCCAGGGATCTAGTTAGGACAGGGGATTCCTCTTGGATCTATTTCGAAGTTATACCTCCTGCTGTCTCAGTGCCTTGGGAGACTTAAAACTCTCCTATTACTATAGTTAAGTGATAAAGGTCACATGGGCAGAGCTGGCTGAGGGGCCCAGAACTGTCCGTGGTGGCTGGTCAGAACTTTGGCCTCTGGATCCAGCCAGTCACAAGGCTCCACATCTTCTAGAAGCAGACATAGAAGTGTGTGGGACCTAGCACTCTTTTAAGTGCAGAGGCCTCGGCTTGCAGCAAAATCATAGGTAACCATGGGGTTTGAAGAACTGGGTTTCCAGACAAGAGGGTTCCCATGGGGAGCTGTGTTCTTTTTGAGACCTTAAATGCCAAACTCAGAATCAGATGAGACAGATACCTACCCTGTCCTGTCCCCTCTCATGCTAGCACCAAGTGCCTAAACAAGAAGGGACAATCCTGGCCTGGCCGTTTGAGTCCTTTTTCTTGGGTAATTCTAGTGTCACCCTCATATCCAGGGAGTCTCCTGTGCCTACCGAGGGCTCACTGGCAAGCGGTCCTTCCACTATGGTTGCTGAGGACACGGCAATCCAGGCTGATTCTGACTCATCACTGAGGAGGATGAGCAGCTGGTCTAAATCAGCTTCTTCGAAGGTCAGTTAGTCTCCATGGCACAAAGAAAGTTTATAGGGGGCTTATGGGATCAGGTTAGGCTAAGCATGGGGGTCCCAGGAGCATCTTATGACATTGTGACCCTCTTTCTATGACCAAGGTCATAGACTGTCTCCTCATTGCAGACATTTTCCCACGCCCTGCAGCAGCTTCTCCCAGGAAGAGAGGAGGTTTTCCCCAAGGTTTAAAATTTCACTGTATTTGCAGAGGCCAGTGGGGGATCCTGGCTACTCCTCCCCCCACTAGCGCCTTCTTGTCTTGGGGGAGAATTACTTGAGCCAAACCCTTGAGGTGACTTGCTTGACCTTGGAGGTTACTTGCTTGACCTTGGAGGTTGTGAGGAAGTAGTTAATATCTCCTGTGCTTGCAGGTTTAGAACACTGCAGAAATCCGAAAACTAGTCTGGCTGCCCGTGGATGAAACAGGAGAAGAAGCTGTGGGGACAGATCAGCCCCTGCATTGCTGAGTGACACAGAACAAGAATGTGGGCTTTCTGAACCCCATTTCTTCCTGGACTACTTCCTGCAGGAAAAGTAGGGGTGTTCCCATGCAGCCCTTTGTGGGGGACTCTCTAGGCCCTGAGAGTTACACTCTCAAATAAGTGTTTTCCTACTCAATAGCAGCAAGATGAGTGCCTGGAAGATAGCGTGACACAGGAGGGGACCCCAAAGTCAGCCAGCCCCGCTATTCACCTCTATGTGACCTTGAGTAAGCCAATCCCTTTGAGCAGGGGTAGGGTGCCCAGAGCAAATGGAGCTTCAGCTCCATCGTCTGCACTTGCCCTCAGGTGCCCTGTTAAGACTTGCCCACAAATCTAATTTCATGCTTCTTACGTTTCAACCCTAAAGAAGGTACCCAAATTACATCCATCTCAGCTCTCCAAGCATTAATCTGAGCCCCCCAACCTGGGGCGTTTATGTTCTTTCCCTCTCTCTCCTCTTCTTCTGCCTTGCTCTCATTTTTCTCTATTTTCTTTCTTTCTTTCTTTCCTTCCTTCCTGCCTTTCTTTCCTTTTTTTTCTTTCCTTCTTTCCTTCCTTCCTTATTTCTTTCTTTCCTTTTTTTTGAGACAGGGTCTTATTCCATTGCCCACATTAGACCCAGACTTGTGGTGATCCTCCTGCACCAACCTCCCAAATGCTGAGACTATACGAATAAGGCACCACCATAACTGCCTTCTGTCTTCTCTTCTGTACAGTGAAGAACTGCACAGCTTTTCATTGTTGGAGAACACTGTAACTCTGTAAGTCCTTAAACCAACATTAGCTGCTGTCAGGGTGAAGAGAAGGGAGCAGCGTCAAGGCTGGAGGGCAACATGAGAAAGAAAGGGTTAGGCTGGAAGGAAAGAGGAACATCGTCAGGAACACCGAGCTCCTTAGGGATCCAGTGGACAGTTGCTGGCAACCTGGGGACTGCTGACCTTCATTGGCAGAACTTGATCTTAACTATGGAGCTTGTAAACTCTGGGCAGGGGCCAGCTGACCCAAGTCAACTCCCACCCCGTCAGTGGTGCTCTATGGTGACATTTCGTGTGTAATCTGCTAAGATACAGCTTTTCTGTAACTTTAAAGGCAGTGGCAGGCTTCTGTGGGCTCCAATGAAACACTCAGGTCAGGCTGGGTGAGAAGGAAGGGCCTAAGACTTCTAGAGCAGACTTTGAGAAGGAGGGAGTTCAGCTTTCTGTAGCTACATCTGCCCTTAAACAGGGCTCTGGACCCCTACATGGGCCCGACACTACATCTTGTGTAGGTGACCCTCATCACACCATGGCTGCAATCAGAGTCAGCAACTGGTGGACATTATGGTTGCTCTAGAACCCATTCTACCACGGGTTCAGGGACTGGATTGGACAAGCAGAGCAGGAGTAGGGGAAGGATTCAAGTGAGTAGGGAGCCCAGCAGGGCTGAGCTGATGGGGCTCACGGAGGCCCATAGTAATGGGGCCAGCAGGGTAACTCACAGAGGTATTCTGGCACTGCACACTGGAGCTATTGAAGCGCAGGGCAGGAACCCGTTGCTCGGTGTCCTGGATGTTCAAGATGCATTCGTAGCCTCGCTGTCCAGACTGAGGCTGTGGGAGGTTCTTGGCCTTCAGAGTGATGGGCTTGATCACCTCTACTGGAACCAGGATCTTGTCCACTCGCAGCAGCTGGGGGCAGTCCTAGGGACACAAGTCATGGCTCAGTTTGGGCATGTAGGAAACCCTACAAAGACAGTGACTGCTACAAATATTACATAGATGTTGGTCTTTGCTATGGCCTATCCCCAGAGGATTGCATGCCCATCCTCAGACAGCAGGGAAGGAGTACGGGTAAGAAATCTCAAATCTTAGTGTTACCATTTTGAGGCCACTCCTAATGGAATCTATCCTTGACCAGTTCATGTTAATTTTAGTACCAGTTTATACCCCAGATCTCTAGCAGGTCTGTGGGCCCCTCCTAATTCCTTTCCTTCCTTGGCAGAGAATGATCCTGCTGCCTGAGCATCCTGATCCTCTGGGGACTCATGGCATCTTTGCCTGCCAAGTTCCAGGCAGCCAGGAGTTAGGACAGATGGACCATATGGGAAGCTACACACGGAGGCAGCAGCCTGGTCCTCAGCTTGGCCCATAGAACTCAAATCTGGAACACAGCTGGGAACCTAAGGGAGCCTCTCGTATGTGGGCTGAGTGGCATTAGGCGATGCTCTGGAATAGAATTTGGTGGGCTCCTCAGTCTAGAAGTTTCCGACTAAGCTCTGAGGATGGTTGGCACTGAGGAAATGCCCCCCCCCCCCGAGCAGATACGCAGCGCTGATCTTTGATGCCTGCAATAGCACTGTTAACCATGCAACCACAGAGGGGCTTTGCCAGGGAAGAAATGAATCACCGTGTCCCTTTCTTTGGAAACAATCAGCACTAACTTGAGAGGCCAGAATGAGCCTGGAGGATAATGGAGTCTGAAGACGGGATGGCTGCTCTGGGCTTTGTGCCAGGAAGTACCCCCCCCCCAGGTTCCACCCTCTCTCTGGGCACTGTCACACCAGATGACCTTTGAACAAGCTGACTGTAGAAAGCACAGCACCCATGCCCTTCCTGGGGATGCTGATACACAGTCTCACTGCTGAGTCTCAGCTGAGGCTGCTGTTCCTCTCCCCAGTACAGGTCTTCTTCATGCGGCGATATTGATTAAAGAAACCATGGGGGAGGCGTATTAGAGGTGTCTTATAGGTAACTGGAGGCTGTCTCTCAAAGCAAATGAGCCTGCTGGCTCCCTATGTCACGGAGAGCTGCACTAGGATAACACTGAGCTTCTAGTCCACCCTAGCACACCCCTGCGCTGAGCTTCAACATCCCTTTGCCCATTAGACAGGACTTGGAGATTGTCCTATTGGATACTGGATAGGACTTGTGCATTTGAGAACAGATCAAAAGAGAACAGCACACAGGGTAATTCCATCCCTTAGGTGTCCCCCAGAACACTGAAAATAGGGACTTAAAGAGATGACTGTAGGCCACATTCACAATAGCATCAACCACAACGGCTGAGAGGCAGAGACACCGTAAGTGTCCATAGATGAATGAATGACAGAATTCTTAAAAATATATAAGTCATACGTACACAATGGAGAAGTATACAGCCTTAAATAGTGTGAAAATTCTGACCCACACAACCATATGGCTAAACACTGAGCACATTGGCCATGTGAAATAAGCTGGCCCCACAGTGACAAACTCTACATGATTTCATGTGCACAGGGCAGCTAGAGTAGAGATATTTCAAGACAGAAAGGCAAATGGTGATGGACAAGTAAGGGGAAATGGGCTGTTACTCCATGGGGTGTGCTTAGCTGGGGGCGGTGGGGGTGGTTCTACATAGTGTATATGCACTCAACTGAACTCTCAAAATATGTGAGGATTGTGTTGTTTTCATTATATATTTCACAACCATTAAGATCAACCAACCAAAACTCCTAAAACATAAAGGAGTGGTGAGGTCTCAGGGCAGCAGGGGAGTGGAGGCAAGGACCGAGCACAGTCTTGATCTTCCTCCTACAGGAAGTTTCAAAGTTTTGAAGAGGTGGGTATCTGGGAACTAGGAGATGCCCTCACAGGGAGTCTAAGTGGCTCCAATCCTGCATACCCCTTGCATCCATCTATCTGATCCCCCATGCTCTGACAAGATGCCAATGTGGCATACATAGGCAAGAGGGATGGTTCCATGAAGAGGTTGATGCTTGGGTTCAATAGGGAGGTGTGGGGGGGCTGCTGGACTATGGGCAGCGGTTCCATGATAATGGGGAGTCACGAGCCAGTCCTTGGATACTGCAGAGCCACTTCTGCTTGAGGCTAGGACTGCCTTCCCCCCAGGGAGCTGGACCTGAGACGCATGTGGTGAGAAAGCCAGGGAGTACTGGCACCTCTCCCATCCACATCCCCAGCAAATGTTGCCATCCACGATCAGGCACAGGGAACCTGGAATTCCAGACTCCTCTGAACAAATTGACTGAGCCCTTCCTAATGGAGAAACTGAGTCAGGGAGAGGAAAAGGAATAACTCAGTGTTAGCAGATGGGTGGACAGCTGAAGAAGCCGACTTCTTGCATCCCCATCCTTCCTCCTGCTTGTGGAAGATCAGGTGCCATGGGCAGGTCCCTCTTGGAATGGTATTGCTCAGTCAGTTGGAGCGGTGCGCTCCACGTGAGCTGGGCTGGAGGTCTGCCCTGTCCAGAGATGTCAAGAGCTGAAGCCTTTCTCACTTGTCCCCTGTAAGATTCTCACCAAAGCTTGTTAGAAGTGCTCTAATGAGTCCTGATTAGCAATGGCCCCATAAAGGCCTAGTTTGCATATAAAAAGGTTGGCAGTTCTGAGAGGAAGTTCATTAATAATAATTGGAGAGGCCCAGGGATGGGCTGGACACATCTTCCTCCAAGTAGTGCTGATGGTTGACCCCAGTGCCCCTGCTTAATTGAAATGTAAAATGGCAATTTTCCCCTTGGCAACAAGGCATGAAGAGGCCATCTCCAGCACCCTGCCCTTCCTCCCACCCATCATGCCAGACTGACCTGCTGCCTGCTAAGATGCCAGGTGCAAAACCACCTACAGACTCAAAGCTCAATGGGAAATGTCAGAGAAAGTGCCACACTCCCCCCAGGACTTGAGTCTGAAGCCCTGTTTCCCAGCCCAGGGCCTTAGGAACACTGACACCATAGTCATCAACATTTGGGGTGCTGGGAATTAAGTTATGGAGTCCTCGTTTGCTTCATCTGGTTTCAGAATCAATAAGGGTGCATTTGTCATTGGCTGGCTTAACTCCGGGGATGAGCAATCTTCTTCCAAATGTATGTTCTGAAGATTCTATGAGTTAACATGTGCACAGTGGCTGACTCAGAGAGAAGCATCCAGCATCCAGCAAGTGTTTCCTCTTCCCTTGCCTCCCTCAGCTCAGGTTGGAGTCGGTCCTCCTTCTGTTTCCAGTTTCTACCTCTTGTCCATAAGACTGGTTTAACCCACTCCCATCTCTCTGCCTTTTCCAGAATTATATCATCAGTTTTCAGCATCATTTCCAAGCCTTTTAGACTTCATGTCTCTTGCTAAACCTGACTCATCTCAATACCTTCAACTGCCTCAAGCATAAGAGAAACAGGTAGGGAGGCATGTCCTCTATCCATGGCTCTCCTACTGGAAATCCTCTCTCTGAGATTGTTCTGTTCTAGTAGACAGGACTCTGGAACCTTGAAATGGGTTAGAATGGCATTGTTTTTACTTGTATATTTTACTACCACTAAAACAACCAACCACAAAGGAGCGGCAAAGTCTCAGGGTGGCAAGAGGAGCGGTGGTGAGGACCATAGCCTTGCTTCTCCTCTTAAGGCGATCCCGAAGCTCGAAAGAGATGGATCTCTGGGAACCACGACGTCCTCTTAAAGGGAGTCTATGTGGCCCATCCATGTACCTTACTGCATCTATCTGGTCCTGCATCTATCTATCAGGAGAAGTAGCATTCTGGAGTTACATTGCCACTTGCTCTAAGACAGAAGACCCACTGGCAACCACAGGGCCAAACCCTCTCTTCACCCATAAAATAAAGACCCAGAGTGGACTAGATGATTTTTATGGTTCTGGATATTAAGGCATAATATAAAGTACATATTTTGGGCTTTGCCCTTGGTTTGTGGCACAGAGCTTCTAAAACCCTTGGAGTTTCCTGAATGATTATGGTGACAGGAACTTTCTGTTGTTCTCAATAAGGCCATTTCAACCATATCTGAGTTTAAGCCAGTGAAGAGCTCATCCGAGGATGGGGATTATTTGCTAGCCCAGTGTGGGATGAGAGGATCTTCCCAGATGCTGCAGAAGAGAGAGGGACTAAAGCTTGAGTTCAGTACCAGTGGCCAGGGCAGAACTGGATAGTGGGAGAACCGTTCAAGTACAACATTGCAGTTCAAATAGAACGCACTTCTCCTCTGATCTTATGACTGTTCTGTGGAGTAAGCATGCTGGCTGCACCTCAAGAGGAGTCAATCAGTCATGTCTGCCTAAAGGGACTGCCGTAGGAACCCCACCCAAGGAGCTTAGGAGATGCTCACTCGTGACAAGCACTTGCTGCTCTTGCAGAACCCTGGAGTTTGAATTTTAGCACCCACACCAGGTAGCTCTTAAACCTGGGTAACTCCTCCTTCAAAGGATCTGACGCCCTCTTTCTGCCTCCTCTGCCATGTGCATGCCTCTGTGTACATACACACATAAATAAATAAATAAATAATAAATAAAATAAAGGAACCTCACATGAAAGAATTCCTGGAACTTCCTAGTTGGTGAGCAGGTGAAGGGCCTGAGAGGGTATCCCCATGAAGCAGGAATGAAGACAGTGGGCCCCCTTCCCACAGACCTTGCACCCTACAGTTTTACCTAGCAGTTCCTCTGCATCCTTCTTAGTATCCTTTCTAATAAACCAGAAAATGTAAATAGATGTCTCTCTGAGAGCTGGGACCCCCTGCAACAAAGTATCACATGCAAGGAAGGGGTTTAGGGAGCCCAAGTTACAGCCGGTTGGTCAGACTCACAGGTGACCATATCTAGTGACTTGTGAATGGCATCCTAAGTGGGGGTGAGCGTGTGGAACTGAGCCCTTTGACTTGTGGGATCTGACACCAACTTCAGATCTGAAGCAAATTGTAGGCT